ACAGGGGTTATCTACAGCAAAAGTAATAAAGTCAGGGGTTAACTCTCACCCGTAAAATCAAAGCAACAATTCCTCCCTCCATCTATTATACATATCCTTCTAAATTAGTTTGGAGAATTGTGCATTTTATCAGCTGGTGAGGATAAATCCTTTTAAATGATAAATTTGTTTGGTTTCATCATTGACTTGCAAATAATGCATAAAATTGTGATGAGAGGTTATTTTTTTATATCATTGAAGTTGGTAATAAAGCATCTGGGAAGAACATAGCTACATTATGCAGCAGGTTTGCATTGTGGCAATTTAGGTTGCCAAGTGTAAGACTACTCAGATTGTTCTGCTTTTTAGCAAGTCATGCAAAGGAGAAATTTTATAGACTGATAACAAATTAACTCCATTATATACCTGATTTTCATAAGCACACAGTATATTTTCAGGCTTCAAATCTCGATGAGCTATGCCTGGAAAAATGAATTTTTAAAATGGAATAAACATGAAAAGGGTCAAACTTTGCTAGGAAGATATATTTTTTGCAGTAATGGTCAAGCAAAAAAAAATTTAAAAGATGATAACCATAAATGACAGAATGTACCTTTTTTGTGGAGAAAATCCAAGGCTGATGCAATGTCTTTTACAACAAGGCTGGCCTCTTTCTCAGTAAAAGCTTTCTTCTTCTCTATATGTTTCAGAAGTGGTCCTATGTATGATTACCAACAGCATAAATATAAGCATAAAATATAACTTCTTTGAAAAATAAAATCATAATGAAACAAACCTTTAACTCCCAAGATCTAATCGTTAATTCTCCTCCCTAGCTGCTTAATTATGAGAATTTGGTATTGGATCAATATAACCCATATCTGATTAGTTTTAGTATTCTCATTATCTGTTTGCTGTTTAATGTATCCATGGATATTCTGGGGAGAAATTACATTTTTATTATTTCTGGGAGTGAAAGCTTAATAACTATTTATTGGAATAATGAGTGGTTGATTTGGTAGTGGATGGTTTTAAGGTTGTCATTACCTCCTCTCATCTTTTCAAATACCAAATAATACCTGATGAGATAAAATAAAAAATCTCAGTAAAGCAAACTCTATTGCATAAAGAAGGATTATTTAGCAATTTTTAAATAATCAGTAAACCTCTGCACTACTATTTCTTACAAAAACTATGATTCATGAGGGTAATTGTGATGCCAAATAATCATTGAGTAATTCAGTTTGCAAATTTGTTGTCTCTTTTGGCACAATACTTACTTGTGACTGTCTTCAAAATATTCAATGCAGTCTATTATATTCCTGCAAAACAAAAAAAGACATTTCATATTCCTAGAAAATAAGAATATTACAAGAGATGCTTGTCAATTATTATAGACTACAGCAAGAATATTGGGGAGAAAACAAAAAGTTAAGTTATAATTTATTATTTACTTTTGTCCACGGCACCGGTAGAGCAACTCTATCTCATTAAGCACACGCTTTCTGTCAACTTTTGGAGACTTCTCAATAATCTGATGATATACAATTAAAAAAAACAATCCTTTAAAAATCTAGCATCCCAGCACTTGAATTATCCCTAAAATATTCTTTACCAAATGATCTGGCAGGTAGTGAGGTGAATACTCCCAAGATCTCATGAGTAATTCTCTTTACTATCTGCCATACAATTCTTATAATGTTAGTTCTGATGATCTGCTGTTGGATCAACTATTTATCACCAAATTGATATTTTTCTTTATTCTCATCACTTTTCTGCTTGATATTGCGTCAATACTGTACGGAGAAATTCTGGTTTGGTCACTCTTGGGAGTTAAAGGATTAAGGGATATTGATAGCCAACACCACAGGACAAGGAATCAAAATATTTACATTGTCATAGTCAAGGGAGATTTGTTTTCATATCTTTATCTTTAAGGGAATCTCCTAACCTTAACAGCATATTCCTGATTTGTAGCAAGCTTAACACAACTCTTCACTGTTGTATGGGCACCTTGACCTAATACGTCATCCAGTACCTTGTATACATCTAGGAAAGTAAGACAATAAACATGTAAAGTGATTACTAACAAACAAAACCTAGTACTTAGAGTTAGCTTATGAGTCAGTGGACTTGTTCTGGAGCTCATCCCAGTTTTTGCATCATGAAGCAAATAGTACTTTGTCTTCTCCACCCAGGACAGAATGCCAGTCCACTGCTAAGAACAGCATGGAGAATATGCACACTGATATTAGGGTGCAAAGGGTTAACCTTGATGTTTAATAAGAATTTCTTATCAGTATGGCCTCTCTCCCTGAATGGGATGCTAGTTAATAACAGTTACCACCCCTGTATTTCATTGGTCTTATCTGTTTTCTGGTTCCCATTTATACTCCTGGTTGGAGAGAGCTGCTATGGGAGTAAGGTGTCTTAGCCAAGAATAGGACACCATAATCTGGCTTGGTCTGGAGCCTAGATCTTTCCACCCTAAGTCTAACATGAAATCATGCAGTCAATGTGTCTTCCTCTCAAACACAAAAATTTACTGAGAGTGATATCATTAACATCAAATAAAAACACATTCTTTTTCTTTTTTTCTAATTAATTAAATTCTTACCATAAAAACTTTCACAGACACTGTCACTTGCTCTTTTCTTTTTCCGTTTTTTTTTCTTTACTTGAGCTTGAGGCTGAAAAATATCTGATGAATAGAAAAATTAGGAAAAGGACTAATAAAAACAATTTTTTATATTATAATTATTATACAAACATTTTAGTTAATTGATCGTCATGATAATTTACCATTAGCACTTGGCTCAAACAAGAAAGCAAAGAGATAGTTAAGAAGGCAGACTGAATTCTCAGAAGTATCTGTCTCAGGGTTCAAATGTTTTCTTGGTTCAAATTTTTCAAAACCAGTTTCATTTTCACATCCTTTCAAATTGAACTCATTGTAAATCATAATCTTTAACGATAGGAAATAAGAATAAGATTAATTGTTGTAACACCTATTGGACAAGAGGTTTCGCTTCTTATAGATAAAGATCAACCTTACCTTCTTGAGGAGGTTCAATGTCTCCATTGTGGTCAAGAAGATGCTCCTTTTTATTATTGTCACCTTCAATTCCTGTTTTTCCAGTTTGTGGCTTGGCTTGGAAGGAATTTTCAGAATTGCTTGCTTTCTTGTTCATTGCGGGAATGTGCAACTGTAACACAATCAACACAATACTCCTCAGACATATAGTGACTGTTTGAAAGATCTCAAATTTATTTCCTTAGAGATATATGTAAGACTTGTCAAAACTGAAGTACATTACTTACATTCAAAGAGTCATGAAAGAGTCTCAAGTCTTGCACTGTATTCTCTGAATGAAAAATAAGAAAAACTCATTTACTAACATTATAAAAAATAATGATAATAATAATAATGATGATGATGATGATGATGATAAAGTATTTCAAAAAATGTGTCCCAACATCTCTTTTAAGACTTATTTCCAAAACAGAATAATGGAATGTAAAAGAGGTATGAAAGCGTCAGTTGAAAATGTTTACTTCATCCAGAACTCAAACACAATGCAAGAAATTTGGACAAGATATACTTGTTCAGAGACCTAGAATCTTAAGGGAAATATCTCCTAAATCCTACAATACCTGAATCCCTGACAAACACGGGAAATTAAGTGTGACCAAAGCTATTTAATATTTTGACATGAAATTTATTTTACACCAGAACAACTCGACTATGTTAAGATCTCAATTTAGTACTTCCTCATTAAAAGACGATTTATCGCAATGTTTTTTAGATTAGTTACAGTGGAAGATATAGTTATCGTTCTGATAAAAAAGTGCGTTACGACTGGTGGGTTTACTTCAATTTTGTGCTTGCCAAGCAGAAAATAACAAAACAAACTGACATAAACAAAATAATGTTTCTTGTACTTTAAACCAATTTTATACTTCTAATAACTTCTCTTTTTATTTAAAAGGCTTGCTTTACCTTTTTTCTTGCTCTCCTCCTCGTTTGCGAGCTGAAGTATGTAGAAAAGATGAAATCTATTATTGAAAGTACATATTGCAAACCGAAGCAGTAAATTTTCAGCTGAATTATTGTAAAATGGATCGGCCGGTAATAATTTTACATTTGTTGAAATATAAACAAATTAAAAGCCATGAATCGAGCTTCACTAAAATACATTTGAATTGAGATTGAACGACAACTGTTAACAAGAAGTAATGTTAAGCCATGAAAACAAACCCTGAAGTTCTTGCTGAAAACGATAAGTTCCTCCACATCCGCCATCATCCCGCGAAGTTTTAAACGGGCAAGGTAGCCGCTCGTTTCTCCGAAGACGTCCGTAACTATCACGACAACTTTCAATTTCCGAGTAATTCCGAGACGGATGTCGGTAAGTTTTCTTTTAATTCTTGTCAAAATATTTTGCGACTATATTGTTCGAACGTTAGATTATTAAACTTCTATAAATGATAGAAATTATAGATTCATAGAGATATGAGCGTCCGGTAACAAAGCAACCACGAAAAAATTAAAAATCTGGTTCACTGATGAAAGGTAAAAAAATTCAGTACAATTATTTCCTAGAAAGAATTTAACGCGGCCAAAATAATTTTGTTTCCCGTCCAGAATTATAACCTTAAAAAAGAAAACAAACTAATCCCTCTGAAATGCTTCACATCCGCTTAAATCAAAATCAACTAAGGATATCCATATAACCATTGAAAGGTCAACTTAGGAAATTTTTACGGTGGTCAATTTACGCTATCTAACCATCTTTCCCCCCCCCCCCCCTCCCCCTCAACACAGCACCACAGTTTCTTCAGAAACTTCACTTCTTTAAAGATATCCATAGCCTGTAGGACAGGCGCAGTTTTTTGCATTTTTTTTTTTATAGAATTTTCACAGTTACTGGTATTCTCTGACCAGGAGACCTGGCTTAGCAAGTTTCATTGAAAAAGTGAAGTGATAGAGGACACACATTCTAGTAAATGAAGTTGTTTTTTATTTTTATTTTTTTATTTTTTTTAATTGACTTCTTCACAACATTGCATCTACACCAAGATTTTTTAAAACACAACAAAATGTAAAAGAACATTCCTCAATGACTACTTTTTAGGAAAAGTAACTCATACACTAGTCCTAACCTATGACAGTAGTATGGGAAACATGTGTAACTACAGGTGAACAAGCCTTCAATAAATGAAATTAAAGCCCTTTAGGGAACACAAATAGTTTCTTTAACAACAATATTTCTCTCAAATTCTCCCTTCTGTGTAGAATATTCTGCAGCAGTTCCTTGCTGGAGAGACCTAACAGCTGAATAAACACACCAAACATGCTAATCTACAGTTCTTTATAACTATTGTTAAATAATTCTAGAATATCAAAGAATTAAGTTTTCACACAACATTCAGAAAAATAAATAATTTCAATTCACCCTTTCACCTTCAAGAATGGCTAGCATCTAATTTTTCCTTAAAATATCACCCCCTGAATCAGACATTAAGATCATGAGAATTAAGGAAACAATCATGGTTAAACTAAATAATGTCTTGATTGCCAAAAAATTCTCCTTTTTGGCACAAAAGGAAATCCATAGAGAACAATAAGGAGAATATGCATTCTGATGTTAGGGTATAAAGGGTTAACCCTCTCACTCTTAGGGGTGACAAATAAGTCATTTCTCCTAACCATGTCCATACTCATATCAATGAGACCTACAGTGAAAACAGCAATATTGGAGGATGTTATTCGATTTACCACAAAATTCTAAATAAATCCAAGACAGTAACAATAATTTAGATAATTGAAAAGAAAGGGTTATACAGATTCAAAAAGTTTTAGCACATTATAAATTGAAAATTACCAAAATAACCTATTTACTGGAAATAATGTTTTATTGCAAATGGTAAAGAAAAACACAATGTACAAAACAGCAATTTAATAAATCCTGATGAAAAATTCACAGAAACATGTGCAAATTTTTTTATTTTTAATGTCATGTAATATTGTTTCACCTTTCCAGCATTCTCCTCTCAAACAAGGGAATCCCCCCATATCTTTGTGCAAAATTGTAGAAGCTGGTTATTAGCAATTCAATAATATACTTAAGGTACATTCCATATGAAGACACTTAATATCTATAACATAAAAATTATTTAGTAGTTAATTTACATTGATTTAATTAATTATTACCAGTCTGAACTTTGCAGTACATTCCAACAACTAACCCCTATCCAATATACCACTGTATTGCTTGTGAGATATTCTTTGACATCATAAAGTCATCACCAACTATGTCTTTTAAGAATCCTTAATAATCCTTAAATTTTTTAACCTGCCTCTATGATTTCTGTCTGTCTACACTGTAACAAAAAAATACACATTGATTGATAGTTCCAGAAGAAATCAATTCATACAGCCTGGCTACTGATATGACACTTTTTTTCAGCACTTGCTAGATCACTGGCCAAATACAATCTCTGCAGCTTCTCTTATAACTTTGCCTCCATGTTTGATTTCTTCAGTTGTCAGCTGAATATTCAGTGTCACTCTGATGCTGCAAAAGAAAATAGTAATAAACATCTAAATTGATGAAAATGTCAGCAATACTAAAGCACATTCAGGAATCATTTGTTACAATCATTGACTTTAGACCTTAAGAGGGAGGATGTCTGAACAATAAGCTCAAGATTTCTTAGCACAAGTGCAAATCAATTTCCATGCAGAGAAATAGACAATGAAAAGTTGTATTGTCTTTAGTAAGAACAAATCTTCTATTTGCTCAAAACAGTAAGACAAGCACATGCTGTTATTGAGAGGAACATTGGGGGGTTCTGAATACTGCAGTGCTGCAAAAAAAATTAGCAAATACCAGAATACTGCAAAAGATAAAATGCCAAATGCCGCAACACTTCAATGAGGAACCTTATAGGGAGGAGCCCTACCTTGGAGGTGGCAGAAATTTTTCCTCATTTTTTAGATATCTTGCTACTGTAAGTGCCACACCATTCTTCAGAGCCTACAATCCATAACCAGAAACAAATAAGTAACAATTTACTACTGAAAAGTCAAACAGTTACATTAAAAGCAATACAATAATATAACATATTCAAGACCTACTCACATAATCAACAACTTGTTTCAATTTCTCTTCATCTTCCTCAAATGTTTCAAATGGTTCCTGAAGTCTCAGGTGTAGAATTGGAGACCCCTCTGATCCTTCGCGTAGAAGTCCTTTGAGGCTAAAATAAAAAATGGTATTTAAAACACTTCATCAAAATTAAAGGAGAGTAAGTGCTGTTCAGGTGGCACACCTCTGCCAAGAATTTGATGGAGTGCTCCCCCCTCAGAAATTCTGCCACAGAGACACCTATCTTTCCTTTAATTTTTACCCTTTAACTCCTAAGATTAGATTGTTAATTCTCCCCTTTAGTTGCAACCCATTTTGTTGTACATCAGTTGCAAGAATTTGGGGTTAGATCAAGATAACAACTTCTACCTGATAAGTTTGAGTATTCTCCTCACCTGTTTGCTCAATAATGTATGAATATTATGGGGAGAAGTTACATGTTAATCACCTATCAGAGTTACTGGGTTAAATCAATAACCTTGTTAGTTTAGTCAAAACCTTATAATTACATGTGGAGTGCACATACCTTTCAAGTTCTCCATACAATAGTTTTGCCTTCTCTTTGAGTTCCTCAAACATTTCTAAATGACAAAATTAAGAAGCAGTTCATTAAGTTTGTTTGTGTATGATCAACCATTTTAAAAATTACACTTTCCAAGACAAGCATTCATTTGATTACTAACCTGGTTTTTCTTCTATGATATTTAACCCTTCAATTGCCGCTGAGGCCAGCATAGGAGGGAGAGATGCAGAAAAACAGTAACCAGCACCAGAGAGTCTCTGCAAGAATAGAAAAAAGTAAGAATTACAGTCTGAAAAAAACATATGTTTCACAAGATAAAGACAAAAGATTCCCTGTGTTTCCAAGGACATAACCCTTGGATGGAGAATCACCAAGAGGTTAATCCCCTTACAGCCAGAACTTATCCTGCTTTCTTCTTATCCCTATACAACCTCACATCAACATGTATATTCTCCATACTGCTCTTTATACTTTCCCTAAGGTGCTAACAAGGAGAATTTATTTGAAAATCAAGAGCTTCTTCAGTTGGTGATCATTTTCCCTATTCTCATGACCTTATTGTTTCATTCAGAAGTGTTGCTGTATGGAGAAATTAGATCCCAGTTACTCCTAAGGGTTAAAGGGTTACAGAGAAAGAACCCCTTCCCTTAGAGAGGGTGCTTGTTCACTGCATACCATCCCTCAGTATTTCATCAGGTTGTATTCAGAGTTTGGCAGAAGCCAATATATTATTGGAATCAGTATTATATTGTGTTTAATTTTTTTGAAGCCTGATTAACCCTGTAACTCCCATGAGTGACCTAGAAAGAATTTCTCCTTAAAATATGAGTTCAATATCAAGCAGACAAGTGATGAGAATAAAGAAAAATATCTATTAGGGGATTATTGATTGATCCAATTCCAAATACTATAAATTAACATCATAGGAATTGTATAACAGACACTATGGATAATTACTAAATAAGAGCTTGCATTTGAAATGGATAACAAATCCTGTATTTACTAGGTAAATAAACTATACATTGCCATGGTCATGAAGCCTGGATTAGTCTTGTGCTAATTTTGATTTGAACCACTAAACCAAAGGTTTAGAGAGGTGCTTGGGAGTCCAGTGCTTATCACATAAGAAGCCAGATGTACCCATAATGAACAGTGTAGCATCTTGCTTGGTTACCACAACTCCCATTTTGGACACTACTTTAGGGTGTGTAAAATGTAACAAATCATGACAAACCTGATGATCAACTACAAATGATGTTCCACAACAGAACCCTCCAATAGTTGCTAATGAGTTCTCCATTGAAACAGATATCATGTCGACATCTTTAATCTGAGGAGAAGGAAAGAATATGATGCAAAGAGGTTTCAGTTTTTATTTCAAATTTTACTTTTGTTGGTGGCAAGCTATTGCCACATTTCTTTGCTTGTTCATTTACCTCACTCTAGAAGAGAGAGGCCGTTTTATAAAAATACTGGAGTTTTGTCAATGCTTTCAGTCCTTCTCACTTAAGCTTCATCTAAGAGAGTTAGGAGCTTTAATAAAATCTGATACAAGTGGGTGTGGATAGTTAAGAATGACAAATTGGTAGTTTTGAGGGCCTGCTGGACTTCCTCTTCCTTGAGAGGTCTGAAGTCCCTTGGAAATTTTGAAGGTTTAAACTTTTACAGTTGCAATTTCCTGTACTTTCAACTAAGGTTAGGAATACAGTGATGTCTGTGTAAAAACTACAAGTGGGTAGTTCCCTAGCTCATTACAAGCATTTGGATATACCTCATATCCCACTGCCTATGAAACTGCTGAAGACAGTAATACAAGATTGGATAAAAGAAGAATGTATTGGACTGGTACAACACATGAGATTTACTAAATACCAAACTTACTGGGACATCAAAGTGCTCTGTCAATCCTCGACCAGCTTGCCCAAGAACCCCAAATGATGCACTTTCATCAATGATGAGACGAACTTTGTACTTATATTTCAATTCAATCTTAAGAAAGCAAAGGAAAATTGCTCTTTCATTAAGTAACTTAATATTGAAAAGAAAAGCTGGTTTTTTTACTACTTAGGGAGCAAATTAAGCAATAATTAAAACAATTTATATACTTTACATACTTGACAAAGTATTGCAATCATTCACAACCATGTTACTTACTATTTTTGGAAGTGGTGCAATGTCACCATAATTGACAGAAATTCCCTCTATTACTAAAAATCTTCTTGTTACACTTGCTTTCTTGGGATTCTGTAAAAAAAAATGTAAATAGCAAAAATAAGAGGTCATGATATTCCTCTGGTTTGGAGATATCAAAAATGAAAAAAACAACAACAAAAAATTGACTGATAAGAAAATGTATACGGAAATAAAGGAATAAAATATTTTACTGTATTGTACTTTGTCATCTTTCTCCTTCTGTTCATGTAAAAGCCTTTCAAGATCTTCCATGTCGTTATGCTCAAACCACATTATACGACTTCTGGAAGCCACCAGTCCTTTTTGAATTGCAAAAGATACTCCCTTGTCACTATAAGAAAAAAATTGGAAGATTCACATCAAGAAAGAAATTATTAAGTATCATTAACATTTGAGGATAATCTTTATCATATTTCAAACCTTGGAAAAATCAGCCACTGACAAAACTTGGAAAATTTTGAAAAAATTTAATATCAATAAACCACCTAACTATAGTTAAAAAGTTCTGAACACTAGCTAATATGACATTTTAGCTTATCAAAGTTTCTGTTTAAATTGTAGAAATCCATACTAACACTTCATGTAAAAAATATGAAAAAAAATCACTTCAAAAGTATTAATATGTTATCAGTGATCTCACCAGAAAATAACATCCCCTCTTTTGGAGTATGCAGGAATCACACTTGCTATTGTAGAAAATCCATAGGCATATAGGATAGCCTCTTCAGTTCCCATGAATTTGGCTAGTCTTTCCTCTAACTCCAGATGTACATCTGCAACATATGAAACATGGCTTTTATCCTTTTACAAACTCCCATTATTGATTCATATATAACTTCTCCTTATAGCATCCACACACTATCTAGCAAACTAGAAATGAGAATACTTAAACTTATCAGACAGAAGTTATCTTGATCTAACACCAAATTCTCGTACCTGATTTCAGAGGAAATGTGTAGAAGCTAATTGGGAGAATTGACTTCTTACCTATTGTCCCATAAAAACCACGGGGACCACAGGAACCTACACCATATTGATGTAAACTTTTGATGGCTGTGTCCTGAAAGATATTGTAAGTATTGAAGGTAATTTCAACATAAGCGAAGAGTAAACAGTTCTTCTTTGATTCTAAGGAGCCTATCTAGTGAAAATGAGAACCACTGAATTACCTCTATCTTTTCATTTCCCACAAAGCCAAGAAAATTAAATGTTGCAAAGTTTAGACACTCTTTGTCATCTATATTCAAAGTATGACCTGGTTTCCTGATGCAAAAAAGACAAAAAAAAAAGAAAATTCATTTAATTAAAACAAAGAGACCTTTCAATCAACACATGGTGTCATAAAGGTGTTTAACAGCCGTTAGAAAAAAATTAATTAATTTATCTATAAAAATTACGAAAAATGGAGCCATAATAATTCATTTACAAAGACTTTGGGAGAGGTATCTTTTTGTTGTAAAGAAAAATAAAAAGAAGTATTTCATGCATACCCCTGTACCACTTTGGGAGTGAGTGTATCTAATTCGTATGTTGGTGTTGCTGGTACTAATGGTTCTGGCTGCCACTCTTCAATCAGTTCCTCCTCTTCCTAGTAACAGTGAAAACAGATAATGTGAGATTTTTTGGACCACAGACTCATAAATTCAAAGTTCTCTAACCAGTGTAACAGTTTTTTTTTCTTTTTAAAGCCTGTTGTAACATTTACAGTGACATCTGAATTTAGTTAACTTTCACTGCAGATAACTCATCTTAGAATCAAACAAAAAGTTTGCTGTTTCCAGGAAACAGAGAGTTAATTCATGAATGCTAGTTCATCTTTTAACACTTCACACCTGCACATTGATATTCATATTTTCCACACAACGGTTATCTTTACATTTCCTGTGGTACTGACCAGGAGAATTTGTTTGACTATCTCAACCTTCTTTAGTTTACAATGATTTTCCTTATTCTCATGACCTCAGTGTTTGATTCAGCAACGATGCTTTAAGGAGAAATTAGATCCCCGTCACTCTTAAGAGATAAAGCGTTAAATGGCCTATTATTCTTTAAGTTTTACTAAATCGTCCATTACATTCATTTATACCGATCTTACCTTCTCAGTGAGTTCAATCTTCTGTTCCCTGAATCTAAAGGTCTTGCTGGTTATCAGTCTAACGATCCAAATCACCAAGACAGCTTCGAAAAGAACATGATAGAAGGGCACCTATCCAAGTTTAAATTAAAAATGTTTTCACCTCTAACCGACATAGGTTATGTCATGTTTACGTGCCAAGCTTTGGAAAACAGGGTTTGAAAATGTACGACTTCCAATAGCTATCCATGGTTAACAAATAGTAACTGACCTTTGTGTAATATTCTAAGATCTCTATTCCTTGTGTGAGATAAATCGTAAAATAAGAAAGCTGCAAATAGGTAGAACTTGTAGATCCCTCAGTAGCACATTGTTGTTCAACCCGGGCCATTTTGGATTTTATTTTAGATACGCCCAGACTTGAAAGGATCTGGAGACGACACGTGTTCAGTCTCCCTCGAGCAAATGTGCAAGACGTAACGCGAACTTCGAAAGCGTCCACCAACAACATCATGTCTTCCAAACTTAAAATGAGTAACGGCGACTGGGTCTGCACCGATAAGCGGTAATTTCTACGTGAAAGAGTTGAAATATCTTCATTATTTCTTCATGTTTCTTCTTTTATTCCTTTTTCAGATGCGGCAATGTGAATTTTGCCCGACGTACTTCCTGCAACCGTTGTGGAAAAGGTGAGAGCATGCCCTTTGCCACGTTTCTCCACTTTAGCGAACAACGTTATGTTGGTACTGTAACAGATTTAGTAGCCCATTCTTGTGTCAAAAGCGATTTGAAAATTTTTCGAAATTGTTTATTATTCCGTATTTCCTTTAATTTATGTTATAAATCGTCAGCTGTTTAGGAATTAACTTCATTGTTTCAATGTGCACGTTAGCTGATCATAATTGTAAAATTGTAAGATGAAACTTTGCCTGATTGAAATGAGCTTCTAGAGCAAAGTGAGACCTAATTAATTTTGTAATCTTTGGAAAAGATCATCCTTTGATCTTTTGTCCATAGTTTGACCTCCATCGATTTTTGAATCTGTTATGCTAGATAACTATTGTTTCGCTCAAACTCCACTGTCAAGTGATCTCATTAACCTTTTTAGTTAAAGGTTATTTTTGGTAGAAAAGGTGGTGGTTATTCATCGTGGTGAATAACAATAAAAGCTAAGTTTCCGTTTGTCTCACGATGTAGTCACGTGTGATGTAGAACGCGACGTTTCGATGCATACTGCTAGTCTTCTTCAGCCAATGAGGTCGACTGGTCATGCGTGATCTTATAAAGCATGATGCTCTGCTGTGATTAGTTGTTTTTCAACAGTTCTGATTGGTGCATTTTGATCCTTGCTGATCACCCAGTGATTTGCTCCCTCGGCAGTCTGCTGTCACACAGCTCTCCTGTTGTTGTGTTTTTTGATCATGGGCATCAATGCTTCTGGAATTTCTATTCCACTATCCCTGTTGATGTTGTTAGGGTGGAGTCTTATGTGAATTGCCTCATTGACCCTATGTGTGTAGTAATAAGGGTCATGATCAATAAACTTTACTTTGTTCCAGAGTGGCTTGTGTCCGGTGTTGTGGGCATGCTCTGAATCAGCAGAGGTCTCGGCACAGGCCGAGGCGAATGTCTCAATCATGCTCCTTAATTCTGTCTTGCATAGGTCTTCCAGTCTCTCCTATGTATACCTTGCCACATTCACAGGGAATCCTGTAAACTACACCGTCTTGTTTAGCCAGGTCGACAGTGGCTAAACAAGATGGCATAGTTTACAGGATTCACATAAGACTGAAGAAGACTAGCAGTATGCAGTCAAAACGTCTTGATCTACATCACACGTGACTACATCATGAGACAAACGGAAAACTTAGCTTTTAAGGTTATTTTTGGTCAGTTATTATGGCATGCTATGATTATCAAACTTTTTCAGAAAAAAAATGACGATCATGTTCCTTTAGTAGGCATATGGCTCTTCAGGGTTACACATTTGATAAAACACAATGTGATTATGGTGCTTTGCATTTTATAATTTACTTTTCACTTTTTAAGAAAAGGGAAACATTGACAAAATAAAGCTTACTGGAGCAGAAATTGGGAAACAAGCCGCAGCAAAAAGTAGAGGATTGTTTAGTGCTGATGACTGGATGTGTTCCAAGTATGTCTTCACTGCAATTTGAAATGTTTAATGTCTACAGTAGACCCCCAACTTAGGCAGATGCCTCCTTCCCCATCTCCACCCCTCCCTCCAAAACTAGTGAGAGAAGCAGCAAATATGCTTGCTTAACTATGAACCAAAAGCACCAGGTTTCCAGGCCTGGTTGGATTCAGCGTCTTTTATTCTTAGCTGGACACTTGACCTTCTCTGCTCCTCTCCAGCCAGAAGTATGAATAGGAACAGAAAATTTTCATGGTATTGTTGTTAATTTCATATTGGTGGAAGGATTCCTTATTTTCCATTAATTAACTTGTTATGAAATAAATTTTTTTTTGCCTTTAGATGTGGTAATGTAAACTGGGCTCGAAGAAATGATTGTAACATGTGTGGACATCCTAAATTTGCTAAAGCTGAAGTTAGGACAGGTGATTGAATTTTGTTCTTTTTCTTTCTTCTAGTGTTTTCCAAAATCATGAATTATCTTAAGTTACAACTAAGCATTCTTTTATGTTTGATTTAGCCTAGCAAGGGTTTTGATAAAAGCCAGTTATGGGTGGTCTAACACTGCCTATAAGACCTCTCACTGCTATATGTTTAGGATCTGAGGAGACTTGTGTGTTTGGGTTTTAGCTGCCTTTCTGGTTTCTGCTGAAAAATGCCATTGAAATCCCCTCCACGATCTGATTATTAATTCTCAAATTTATCAAATTTCTTTGTAAATTAGTTATGAGAATTTGCTGATAGATCAAGACAACAACTTCTACCCGATAAGTTCGAGCCCCCTCATTACCTGTCTGTTGGATAATTTATGAATTTTATTGGGAGAAGTTACATATTAATCACTTCTTTATCTTTCTTTGCTTATGTTTGTAGGATATGGTGGTGGTTTCAATGAACGTGAAGGGGTAGAGTATATCCAAAGAGAAGATTCTGATGATGAATTTGATGAGGTATTTAAAAATCTAGGATAAAATATACAACACTAAGCATTTTACTTTTTTTTTAAATGATAATTTTATTACATAAATTAATTATTATTGTTTTTTACTTTTTAACATATTGCTACCTGTAATCTCATCATTGTTATTTCTTTGTGTTATTCAACTTAATGAGATAAGCACTTGAAAACTGAATGTTTGACAAGTACAATTTTTTTTTCATTAATAATCTTTATTTCTGTTCGGCAGTTTGGTAGAAAAAAGAAAGGAAAGCAGGGTGCTTCTCAAGCAGTTGTTGAACAGGTATATTCCGCATTGTCAGTCAAAGTTTAACGTTAAAAAAATTACGAGTTAAACAGATCAAAAAAGTTTTCAGCATACATTGTCTTTAATATTAACCTCTACACCCTAACATCAGTATTTTTTCTCTCTTTACTGTTTTCTATATATTTCTAAGCAGGCTGAGAAGGAAAATTTATTTACAATCAAAAGCTTATTTAGTTGGTGATCCTTTCCTTTATTCTCATGACCTTAATGGTCAGGGTTGGTTACATAAGGAGAAGCTGGTTTAATAGATTCTTATCACTCTTAGCGGTCAAAGGTTTGAGTCAAAGAAATTGGGAATGTGAAGGACATTGAGCTAGCATGCAAAGTATTTAATCACAGGATTAAACACTGGTAAAAAAAACTTTCTATAGGTGTATCATATTTCCCCTGTGAGCTGAGTCATAAGAGCTGTGTAGTAAAACTGAGTATTTTCATGACAGAAACCGAAAACAGAAGAACCTAACAACAAAGAGGAGGAAGATGATTATTACAATGATGATGATGATGATGATGATGATGATGATGATGATGAAGAAGGCGACCTGTCAAAATATAACTTGGATGATGAGGTAGCACAAATTGTAACTTGTAGAGAGAGATAATTCATGTCTAGAAAGTGAAGTTAATGTGGTAATCATTGTCATAGCCTTCAAAATTCTCTGCATTATAATCACTCAGTAATGACAGCTGTCCTTCACATTTCACACAGAATTCAATTAAAAATGAGTGTGTATTTTCCCAAAAAAGGTGCTGTCTCAGAAAAGATTATATAGATGAAAGCAAACAGAAAATCACTATTAATAGTGTTGAATCTTTTTGTCACTGAGTTTTGGTTTTTAATCAAAGTTTGCTCTTTTCCTAATCAGGATGATGATGATGAAGATGGTGACTTGTCCAAGTACCAACTTGATGATGATTCAGACAATGAAAACAAGGATAAGGGCCGGTAAACTCCTCCCCCCTGTCTGCCCCACCAATTCTTGATTATTCAGGTGGGGTCAGGCACTCTGCCAATTCTGTCATAGTTCATTTAAAAAAAATTTCTTTTTGTGATATTATTATAGGTGATAATATTATATTTGTGCATATTAAAGATTCTCCCCAGATTGAATCTTACTGTGCAAGCAAAGTCAACCAAAGATAATATATATATATATAAATTGACTCATCCCCCCCCTCCCCACATCTGACAGTCTTAAAGAGGAAAGAAAGCACCTTATCATTACTGTTGTTTTGCTATGTTGTTAAATCCATGTGGTTGATTTATGTAAAATTTTTCAACAATTGCAAAATTGTCACAAACAGATACAATTTAGGAGAACAACTAAATGTGAAACAAAATAAATAATCATCAGGATGAAGGTAGATACCAGTTTTAGAGGTCACATTATTTTCCCTTCTCAGGTTTTGGAAGAAAAAAGCTTTCCAAAACATGCCAGCAACTCTATGATTTGGCTCTGTTTTTTTCCAAATTATCCCCCCCTGCAAGAGTGACTGCTTTGATTTGATTACTTTTGATTGTTAGTCTTTAATACTGGTTGTCATCAGTTTTTAATATTTAGTTTATTTTAATTATTGAAATCAGTTTTCCTTTACTTTTATAATTGATTGCCATCACTAACTCTCTAATATGTTTAAACAGAATGTCAGCTGAAGTGAAAGAAAATTGTTGAAAAGATGAATTTCTCAAGAGACTTTATAAGCTGTAGGTTATTGTTGATGATGTTAAATCTAATTTCATCTGTTTTTAAACTGCCTATTCTTCAGGCGTTCAAGATCAAAGTCAGGTTCTCCTCCCAGTAAGAGAAAGCGGCGTAGTGGAAGTAGTAGTTCGTCTTCCTCCTCATCAAGATCTAGGTCAAGAAGTAGCTCTTCACGATCTCGTAGTCGTTCAAGGTCTCGTTCTAAGAGCTCCAGTTCAAGATCAAGGTCTCATTCACACTCAGGATCTCCCAAACAAAGTCCAAGGGAGAGGAGGTTTGGTATTTGTGTTATGATCAGGATTGAATATCTTACATGATCGAATTATCTATGCAGTTACCCAGTTTGATCATAAATTTGATGCATTTAGGGATGGGTTGCCGATGCAGTTAGCTAGTTTGATCATAAATTTGATGCATTTAGGGATGGGTTGCCAAAGCTTTTTTCCTTGTGAATATGCAAAGCGTGGGAATGAGTTATGTGAAGATTTGATTAGCAAATTTTCTTGGAGGAGCATACATCTTAGTAGAGATGGCGCATCAATGTTTTTATTTTATCATTCAGAATACTAACCCACTGCCTAACCAAACTCTCTTTAGTTGATAGAAGCTCAATTTTATTTCTTGGAATCACAGGATTATTGAATTTTAGTACAATCAATGTTCATTCTTATATGTTATAATTCTTATTTGTCCACAAGTTCACCATAGTGTTACTCCGATTTTGTTTCTTTTACTTTTTCCATCGCAATTTTTTTTTAAACTAATCTTTTTTTTTAGAAGGGATGGTGCTGTACTGTTTGAAAAATTATTTTTCTCCCTTTTTTTTAGTGTAAAAATTTTTATTTTCAGCCCAATGGTAATCTTTCCTGGAACAAAATAGTTGGGTTTAGTTCTAAAAGCTGATAGTGGACTTCTGTTTGACCCAAATCTAAATTTCACTTTGACCCCTCTTATGTGGCCAAGATCTGACACTCATTTCAAAGGTTATTGTAGTCTTTTTGATGGCATGTAACATTTTGTCACTGTGTACCCTTCATTATGTATTCAACATTTTTTTCCTCAGCAGAAAGTCCAGATCCCGATCCAGATCAAGATCTAGGTCCAAATCTCATTGAGGTGTGACCAGGAAAGATAGAAACTGCTGTTGTAGGTCGAGTAAGTGAAAGGCTGCAGAGATAATACATGCTAACTGTGGACATCTCAAGTTAGATGGTTCATTTCACGTAATGGATTAGTATGTGGTTAACCTACAAGCTTGGAGTCTTGTTTGTGATATCTAAGAGAGTAGCACTTGTTTTACATGAGGTAGTGCCCAGAACATGGTGGAAAGTAATCAGTGAACTAAGATCTAATTTTTAATTCTCCCCTCCATCTGCTAGATGTTTCCTTGTAAATTAATTATAAGAATTTGTTGTTATGTCAAGATAACAACCTCTCCCTGATTAGTTTGAGTATTCCCATTTTCTGTTTGCAGGCTAAATTGTGGATATTACATGGCAGCACAAAGTTACAAAATTTCTCCTTGAGTGTTGAAAAATATTGCCTAATCATGAAATATTTTTCAACAGGAGAAGAGAAATTTTGTATCTCTAAGCAGCCATGTAATATTCTACTTATTACATAAACACCAATGAAATACTAAATCATTTCACTTTAATATATATTTTTTTTCAAAGTAGAACATGTCACTACTAAAAAGTGGAAGGAGTGTATGGCCTCTAAAGGGTGAAAGAAATATAAATTACATTTCTGTTACAATGTAATAAAGGGTTTTTATCCTAAAATACATGTAATTCGGATCTTCTCCAATATGATAAAGGCCCAGTTGTCAAAGGTGCTGCTGTGACAGGTGCAATTTTTATGTTACCATAGCAACATTGACCTTTTTAACTTGTGAATTGCTCGCATGCGCAAGAGTGAGTTGTAGATACACTGTGGGGAGTGGCATTCGCTCGCTCACTCGATTGGTTGATTCCTGTAAACTTTTTTTTGATTTTAGGCTTTTGAGTGCATTTGATAGTTTTTGGTGCGCAATAAACAAACAAAATGGCGACCTTTGTTGCTAAGAATAGTGGTGGGGTGACAAAGAAGCCAATGATAATCTTAAAGAGTGTTTTTTTTTTTCGTTTTAGTTTCAACAAGCGGCGCCAGCAACTGGCAGGCATGCAAGGATTCACACTGAAATAACAGAACAACCTTCGTTTTTCATAAAATTGTAATTTACCATCCTTGAACTTGAAAACAATCCGAAGATTCATTGAGAATATCACTTACTGCGAAGCACTCGGAGCTTACAGATGTTCAAAAGCTTTTTCTGTTACGGCATGAGATTGAGGACAAAATCGATCATTACATTTCGTATCGTGTTTTTCCTGTGTGAAGCAACAGAAGATGCTGGAGACTAACAAAAAATTACAAGTTAACACGAAAATCAAATAACACCTAAACAAACAATTTTAGCTACCGATTTTCAGTTAATTTTTAAAGAACAATTTTCTTTTAAGTTTCAAGACAATTTGAGGATTCAAAATACATATTACATACTAAAATGTGAAAGTTATACACCACAAAATTGATAAATAAGCCTGAAATTAAATTCTATCTTGTTATTGATTACACGTTGCCTAGCATGTGACTAAACCCAGGCAGAGATCCAAAATGATGGTGGCAGTCTTGGGTAGGTATATCACTCAAAACTCGTTCCTGTTTGTCTCATTTGATAAAGAGGGAATCGTTAATGTTTTCATTAAGACAGTATTGCCTTGATTTTCTAATATTTACAATGATAGACAGTAAATTTCGCTTTTCACCCACATTTATTTCCAACCTTTTCTTTTGAACCAGAAACAGAAATGATATACATTTAAAACACATGACATCATCAACCCTTATCAAATGCAATAGCATGATCATTTCAATTGTAATGCCTTCTTATCCCGACGTTACTTTGTTTCTTTGCTACATAAACAAACACTGAACTACTGCTCGTACTCTAGATATGACAATCAACCACAAAATTCCCTAAACCAGATAACATTAAACATAATCCAAAAAATAATGTGTCAATTCACAAGTTTGCTCACAGAGCACTTTGAATTTATGTGTGAGGATAATGTGTTAACTTTGTGTATGACGGTATCATGTTTTTACGCAAAAGCTCACTTGGTATTTCATTGGTGTTTATATAATAAATGTTAATCACTCCGGGGAGCTAATGGGTTAAGCAGAGATATAATTGAGACACAGATGACAACCGTCCAAAAAGCATAGCTTCCTGTAGCATATGGATATCAGTCAATCAACTGCAATGTTCTTGTGGCATTTTCCAATAATTTATATTGAAAATAAATCTGATATCCATGGGATGGGAGCACCTGACAGCAGCTCAAAAATCTTTGTGTTTAATTGGTTTCCTGGTATCCTTGCATTTTTTCAATATCCATATACATTACTAAATGTGTGTATAGTTAATATGCCACATTTTTCAGCCACTGTAGATTTAAGAGAAAACTAGCTCCTCGTTAAAATCCCTGACAAAAGGCGTTCTAAGTCCTTCTTTGTCAATGCAGGGGTAGTTGTTCCTCTAACCCCGTTTCCTGTTCATATTTATCCATTGAAATTTGGTTGCTTGTTGCAGCCTCAATTCATGACACTTGTTTACCGCAATGGTTTTGTTAATGTATAGTGGAGAAAATATTCACAAAACTTTTGAGAGCAATTTGTATTTACTAGTTTTGTTGAAAAAAATAAAAAAATAAATTTTAAATGTACATAATAAGCTCAGTTAAGCATGCATTCTGATTGGTTCTCACTTATGATCTATTGGAGGACAGACGTATAGGTGATGTCATCATTAAAACTTTTTTTTATTCTTTATTATAAAACAAATAGATTCCAAGTTGCTGTGTAAATTTCAGTCTACAGTGATAATGAAGGTTCATACTTTCCCTTGAATAATTCTTGCTTCTAATTCTATTATTCCTTGTGTTTTATGGAGTGGGTTCAAGGGTTTTGTGAATCTAGCTAACGTAACCTTTTCACTCCCAGATCTCATCAGTAATTCTCCTTCATTCATATGATGCAAGTTCTGAGAATTTGGTATTGGATTAACCAATAGTCACCAAATTGATATCTTTTCTCATCTCTTATATGCCTGTTATCAAATTGTTAATGAAAGGAGAAATTCTGTCTTGGTCATTCATGGGAGTTAATGAAAATTTTGGGGTTAACAGACCCTTGGGGGGACCTTGCAAACTTTAAAATGTGGACCACTTTCAGGTTCCCCTATCAATTGGAATGTATTGGTCATTTCTATATGGGGTAGTGTTATAAGAATTTAGAATTTAGTCAGCATAATTGTCTGGATTGCTTACTAATGAAAACTTATCTTGGATGAAATTAATTAAATGGAATTGCATCTAACAAAATTTCACTTCACAAGTTTGTTTTCAGGGATGTGAAACGCTGAAACCAAGAGTTTACATGCAAGCAAGTAGCCTGGAATTTGACTAGAGTTCTTTTGCACAAAATGAAGCTAGTGTCCTGACTTTTTTTAAGAAAAGATGCACATTATTCCAAGTGATATTGAAATAAACATCACAAACAACATTGGCCCAGTTTAATTGTTCTTATCTTTGGTTACGTAATTTCTCCTTGTACAATTCTCCATTCAAAACACTCATTTATGGTCAATCCTTACACCTTCACAACATGTTCAGAATGCACATTCTCTAATCCATTTGTGTCATAGTACTAACGTGGAGAATGTCCAACAATCAAGCTTCTTGAGTTGGCTATGACCTCCTTCACACTTGCAAACTTAATTTTTTTTCCAGTCGGGATGCTTAAATAAAATTAACTGCTTGTCACTCTTGAAGGATTAAGCATCGACAAGTGCTACGAAAGTTTTAATAGGAAAATTCTCAAGGGAACAAGTTTTGAAAGTAGAATTCGTGGATCGGTTTCATACTTGTAGTATATGGGTTTGTACATTTCAATCCTCAAAGAAAAGCTGCACTCAATTTAAAATTACATTTTCCATTTCTGAAAACTGATCTTGTCATCGAGTACGCAAGGTAGAGTGGTTGGCGACGAGAATCTTTGCACAATTACCACAATTTTCAATCTAGTTTGACTTAAGCGAGACTTGGGGTATGAGAGAAAATTCTGAATGGATTCTTTGTTGTTTACTTAAAAAGAAAAGAAAAAGAGATGAATTGGTCGCTCACGAGTCAATCATTAACTTCATCAAATCTGGTGGCTCCTAAGGGAGCCGTTTGTTCTGTGTTCGTAGATTACAGCGTGGTCTAACCGCCAAATCCGTAGAGAGTGCGGCCTTGTCTCTTCAGAGCGTACACCACATCCATGGCTGTCACAGTCTTTCTCTTGGCGTGCTCAGTATATGTCACGGCATCACGGATCACGTTCTCAAGGAAAACTTTGAGAACACCTCGAGTCTCCTCGTAGATCAGGCCAGAGATTCGCTTGACACCGCCACGGCGAGCAAGACGACGGATCGCAGGCTTAGTGATACCTTGGATGTTATCACGAAGGATCTTTCGGTGACGCTTAGCACCTCCTTTTCCCAGCCCTTTACCGCCTTTACCACGACCAGACATATTGCTATTCCAACGTGAACTAAACTTTGAAGTAAGAGTAATAGAAAGAATATGAGAAGTGTGCAGTATAAATACAATTAATGCGGACGCCGAAGTAAACGTCATGCAAAGGGTTTCGTGATTGGCCAATTATGCAGTAAAAATACTGACCAATCATCTTCTCCCCTTGGAACATTCGATCCCGAATGGCTTCAAGCTCGAGTATGTTTTGAAATTCTTCCCCTCGGCTTAAAAATTGTTTACAATTTCAAATTGAATCCATAAGGTTGCACTAGATGTGAATCTGGTAACAGTGTTTATGGTTTAAAACGCTAATCCTAGAAAAGTGAGTACATAACTCTCTCTACTAGTAGCAGTTTCAAAGCTTCTTCATAAGTCATTTGTAAGTATGTAAGAGGGGGGTAAGAACGTTGCCTTGAGTCTGCTAAGTGTCTGGCCCCACTAGTCCTAGTGACTTAAATCATTTTGTTTTTCATTACTCATCCCTTTAGTTAACTTATGGTAGACATAAAAAGTGACCATAGTCCCTAATGGTGAAATAAAGGGAGATGTGTCTGCTAAAGCGAATTGAATTTCAATATTCATTTATCTAAAACAGTCGGCAAGCTCATCTTTTGGAAATTCTACCAACTCAAGTGAATGAAAAAAAAGAACAAAACAAATTTTCAAGAAAGTAATGATAAGTTTTCCCTCCCCAGCCTTAACCCATTACACCCTAACACAAGCAAATATATTCTTCACACTGTTCTCTTTACATTTCCCACCAAGTGCATTAACAACTAAGAGCTCTGTTAAATGGTAATTATTTCCTGGTTCTCATGACACTGACGTTTGATTCAAGAGTGACATTGTGAGGAGAAATTGGATGTTGGTCACTCTTTGGGGTAGGAGGGTAAAACATTGTCATAAAAAGCAGGTCTCCCTGTCAAAACATTGCTAAAAAATTCAACCCAAGGATGAATACAAATTATACACAAAGGTATCTCTACAAGTCTAGTTTATTATGATGATTTTTTTACAAAAACTTAAAATCAAACTTGATGTAATCATGAGTTCTAAACTAGTGTCCTTCCAGAGGTAGGAGGAAACAATTTCTTTTAACTCTTTCACTCCCAAGATCTCATTAGTAATTCTCCTTACTGTCTGCAAAACAATTCTTATAATGTTAGTTTGGAGAATTTGGTTTGGATAATCTACTCCCTAAATCATATTTGTCTTTATTCTCATTACTTGTCTGGTTGACATGAAATTGATACTGTAAGGGGAAATTCTGCATTGGTCACTCATGGGAATTCAAGTGTTTAAAGCCTACCCATGGGTCATGTTGTGAAAATATAGCCTTGATCTACACAGGTAATAATTTCTACAGCTGATTTAAATGAAATCTCTTTATGATGCCAGAAACTTTAGATCAGCTGATATAACTAACTTGCCATGCATTGGACAAATATCAATTTATAAATACTTGGAAATTTAAATAGGAAAATAGCAACTACCGTAATGTAAAAACAATTTATAAAGTCAATATTTACACAGCAACCTCAATACAAAATTTTCAGTGGCAATAAAAATAATAATACTGATGATATTATGATGAATGATGATGATAGAAATAAGCCTTATTATTTCATAGAATAACAAAGGTGGTTATTGATGTTCAAAAATGTACAATACCAACTACTGAATTAAACTTTTGTTATTAAATGTTGGCCATAGCTAAGATGATCCTATTTACAACTGGTTATGGTAAATGCATGAATGTAGCCTATTATATTAAAATACTAATGAGTCAAAAAACACTTTCCCTACTATAATAATGGAACACGATCTCCACTTCTTAATGATGACTGTGATTGAGAGCTACTGGCCTGTTCTGCAGCAGAACTGTCTCCAATTAATGCTGTTGATGTAGTTGAACCATCTGTTATTCTTTGACTCTGCAACGATGAGCGTCCAGCACTTCTAGGTCGTGGTCGGTCATTATCAAAGTTAACTTGACCAGGTATAGAAGCTGATGAACCCGTGGAGCCTAGAAACCCAAGAAAAACAATTAACCTACCGAACTCAATTCTCCCTTCTTGCTACTATACATTTCCTCACAAATAGGTAAGAAGAAATTAGTTATCTATCAAAATTACACTCTCAACTTTCCCTAAAATAACCACACATTTTTATGATGAAAGGTGATGAAAAAATAAAATGTAAACAAAGGGGATATTGGGATATTGCTTGATTTAATATCAAATTCTCAGAACTAGAATTATTGGCAACATGTGGGGGACAGTTAAGAGAATTGATATCTAGATCTTGGGAGTGAAAGGATAAATATTGATCACTTTTGGGGGTGTAGGTGTTATGAGAGCTTTGACTGATTATACCAAGTCCTGAAACTTTGCTCCAAAAATAGAAATTGCCCACCTGAAGGAGAAGAAGGATGCTCCTCAATCAATGGCATTGACCCAACTGAAATTTTCTTCCTTCTTTTAGCCATCTCTTGTCCTTCCTCCCAGTCTTCCACCTCATCCAACAGCTTATCTACACTATCTGCTTTAGAAGCCACTGAGAAGGAGGTGCCAGGTCGACTACCTGAACTTGAAACAGTTCTCATTGCATCAAAAGTTGAATAAGGACCCGCCAAGTCAATCATACTATCCCAGTCATATGCTGTGGAGCTACCATATAGACTTGAAGGAGTTTTGGTCTTCTCAGCCTCTTTTAGTGCCATGTAAACTTTCTGTTCAACATCATGTTTGACTTTGTCCATACGTCCATTCACAAATATTCCAAGCACATACATTTTCAAAAGCATGCGTTTCTTCATGGGGTCCATCAAGATGAAATCATATTCACGTTGATCGAGCCTTTTTCTCATCTGCGGCATCAAGACCATCAATTCCTTTGCTATCTCACGGACGGTCTTCTTCACTGACAGAGCAAACAGAGAGTGAGGTGCTAAGTTTCTGTGAGCTTCAATCAATTCGTCAAGAAGATCCCAGAGGGAATCAAAGGTTGGATCATCCAAGAACTCTGCTTCTCGGCAGTATGCATTGATGATGTGAATCTGCCTCTCCAACTCATGAACAGGTGCAAACATGGGTGGGCTTGAAAGTGCTTTCTCCAATGTATGACGGCCCCTCAGAACAGCACGCATGTACTTCTTTGTATCTTCGCTGATGTTGCTTTTTCCATCTGTACTTAGCATTGGCCAGAGAGGCTGCTTTGGAAGTATAATATGCAAGTACCGCAGCAAGAGATACACAAGCCACAGAACTGCAACACACAGCCAAGCTATGTTCACCCATGTCAATATCAACTCTGGAATGGGTGGCACAAAGAAGGCATTCACAAGTTCATCAGTGTTGTACATCTCCACCATGACACCGATGTATGCATTACCTGCATTGACAAGTAAGGAGAACAAAATCATGAAGTTGAATGCCGAAACACGGAAAGGAAGACTTCGGACCATTATCAGGCTTAGCATAGATAGTGTTGCTCCTATGCCGCCACCTAGCCGATCAATGGTGAACAAACCGCCTACCAATAGAACCAGAAAGAGCTTGGCAATCACCCAAGTTGGAGTGATGTTGAAAAGGACATGTAACAATCGTGAAATGCCTTTCCAGCAACACCAGCCTGTGAAAGCCCTAAAGGCTTTGATAGGAGGGCGGGCCAAGCCAGAAGAAAACAACCCAAAAAGAATAAGGAAAAAGAACATAAAAATAGGAAGGTTGATGAGGAGACGTTGCCCAAAAGTAAGCCTGTTGCTCTCAGTAAAAAACAGGAACATTGCATAAAAACACACAAGGCTAAATTTTAAAATGAACATGATGGGTTTATAAAAGATCCAAAGCCGGCGGAATGATGAGAAGAGGTGGAACTGTCCGACTCCCCATAAAATGTCAAGTCCTTGATTGTATTCGGCTTCTTTGAGTTGCAAGTAACCCTCATGTTTTTCTTCACTGTAACAGATCACTTGACCACGAATTTTCCTTATCATGTTTATTGGGTAGGCCAGGAACACAAGAATTACGACCAGACTTGCAATAGCAACAAACACCAAATGCTCTATGCTGTCCGAACTGTAGCACTTTACACTATTTTCAACATTCCATACTCCATCGCTTCGACAATGGAAAACACGGGCATATGCAGTACCAACAGGTAAGCAGGCGAGCTGGATAAAAACGCTGAAAACACGCTTCATCCTCGCAACATGAAGCAGCAGATAGAGTGGTTTTCGATGAAGAAACACTGCATAAGTTATCAAAAATGTACATCCAATCACAGCGACTCCAATGGTCCATCCTATCAAATAATAACTATAGTCTATGCCGATGCTTCCTGAAGGTAAAAACGTGTCTAGGTTTAAAGTACCAGTATATGCTCCAGATGAGACTTTCACAAATTCCCAAACGTCTAAATTAAAGAGAAAAACATATGAGGCATGTTGCACAAACGTTTTAGGATAGCCCCAGCGTTCTCCCATGGCTAATATCAACGCAAAAATCTGTATATGCTGCACAATCATGATAAGAGCATCGGAAACCCACAGCGTGATTCCATGATGTACAAAAGTATCTTCGCTGTTTTCATCGTCCTCATCGAGATCGACTACAACTTTCTCAGATTCCTCGATTAAAGGGAGGTTGTCTACATCCTTTTCTTTCAGTTTTCGATTCAAAAGAGCCATTTTAAAGAACTAAAAGGGCCTCTCTAGGAATATTCCGGGAGAAATTGACTTCTAAACAACGTTAGAATGCATGACCTTCGTCATTACATTTGTGTTACTATGGGGTTTATTTGTGTAAATCTTACCAAATATGGTAAGAAAGACGTCATGATTGCCTCAGTTTCATGTACACAGTTAGACTGTGTAGTCCCTAGCAGGGATGATTTGGTCAGCATGGCCCTAAAATTTGCAGCGAATATATCGTTTACATTTTTGGAGCATAAAAATTTCCTTGATAGATACCAAGCAGCCAAAAGAGCAGGTGATGAACTTGAATATATCAGATATGACCAGAAGTAGCCATTTATTGACAAGTTGTACTGCCAGAGTTGTTTTCGAAACTTGAAGGAAGGGACCTCAACGGCCCCTGATTGTTTTGAAATTGGATGATGTTTTTCATGAATATTTATGTAAACCAAACTTTTTCCTCACCATGTGCAACATTCTGGTGTTCAAGAGATAAAAGCATAAGATACTATTTTCTTGAAAAAAGGGTTTGCTTGAAATCCCAAAGACTTGAACTATTAACAAAAAATCTCCGCTTTTCCACCAGTCGTTTTATGAATAATTTTAGTCTTATCTCGTTTGACCTTCCTTCCTTCATTTATAAAATCATACATTCATGCATTCTTTAATTTATTCATTATATCATTAATTATTTGCCTTTACTATCATTTATCTTATTTCTGTTTGCTTTGTCTTATCCACACTTGTCATTCTACCTCATGTGTTCCTAATTTCTGTTTCTAATTCAGATTTATGTCCTCACTGACAGATTGTCATTTTACCTCACAGGTTTCAAAGCTGTGGAATCAGGTTTTCCACCAGATATTCCTATTGAGGAATTATCTAATGCCAGAGAAAATGCACAAATAGAACAGATTCTCATGAATGCTTTTGATGGTGAGCTCTTGTTAGGAATGAACCCTTTGTTTTAAGTCTAGTTTGTGAAGTAGGCTCTCTGTTTGACCAGGCCAAAGCAATTTAACCTGGTACATCTAAGTGTGAAGTCATGTGTATGAGAGCTATCATTTTTTCTTTTTCATGCCATGCACTTCTTTAAACTGCTGAGATCAGAATTGCCTGTAATTTAGAGCAAACTCAAAGTGGCTCTGAACATTCTCAACAGGTTTTTTGAAATATACAGTTGATAAATTTTGATTTTTTTGATCGCGGTGTACAAATAAGAATAGGAGTCACTGATTGCATTAAGATACAGGCTTTTAAATTAGAGGTTTTAAAGACACTTTGGTATTACTTTAGTAACTTCCTACTTCTTAGGAAAAAAACCCCAACTTAGCTAATGATGGTTTGGAATTTGTTTGAAGCCATCATGGATGCACTTCCGGTAAATAAGAAAAACTTGAGGAAATAATTTAGAGATCCCCATTCAGGCCTATACAGCATGCTGAGCTATATTTTTCTATTTCATAAATTTTTTTCTTTGTAGGAGGTTCTCAAGGACTTGCAGCAGTACCTGGTAGAGAGGAAGAATTTAAGCAATGTTTAGAGTTATCTATCAAATATGCTGAAGCTGTTAAATGTACAAGGTAATGTGTGACCATTTGCGTTCACTCAAGTTCTCTGCAGTAGCAAACCATCTCAGAGAATTCTTTATTTATTTTATCCCTTTCATTTTGAAGATCTCAAAATAAAATCATGTACATATTTATACCTTGAGCTCTGACAATCTGGTGTTTTATAAAGCAATATCACCTTTCTGATATTTTACTTATTCCTCCAACCTTGATGCTAGATAATGTGACTGTTTAGTAAGGAGAAATAACCCATTGGTCACTCTTAGGAGTTATTGCATCAAGTTATCAATAACTCAAATTGTAGGATTTGTCTGTCTGAGCTTCCATGTTTTAATTGAGACCACCATTAGCATCTGTCATTTATTGTAGATTGCATGTATTAGCTGGTGTGTTTCCTGAGGGTGTTACTAGCACAGATAACAAGTCAGTGGTGCTATGGGAGGAGACATATGTGAAGAATATGAAATATGCTGCTCAGAGGCTAAAAGAGGTAATCTGTTAGCACAATCTCTGACAGGAAGAATTGTGACACAAGTACATTTGAGAAGTAGGGATTTAACAATGACAGTCCAGAAGATTTGTGTGACTCAAAATTAGTTGCAATAGCAAACAAACCTATGCATGAGCCCCATAACCCTTTATACCCCAACATCAGCATCGATATTCTCCTTTCTGTTCTCTATACATTTCCTAAGGTGCTAACAAGAAGAATTTGTTTAACAATCAAGAACTGTTTTAGTCAGTGATCTTTTCCTTGATTATCTTGAACATGCGATTCAGGGGTGATATTGTATGGAGAAATTAGATTCACTCATCACTTATCACTTATAGGGGACAAAGGGTTAAGAAAAAATAATTATTCGTGTATTTACTACATTATGAAGACTGACTAGCAGTAAGATTGAGTATTCTTGTCTTAAACTGTTGCAGAATGGAATCACCCTCTTAGTAGAGCCTATCAGTACAATACCAGGGTATTTTTTAACTAATTCACAACAAGGTATTTTTTGTGACTTTTTTAATTGATTTTAATGTTATTATTTGAAATTGTTCTGCCACTTATTTTTGTTTCTGAAAAAAAAAGAAAACGTATGTAACATCTAGTAATTCTGTTTTGACAGCAATCAATTTGATCAAGAAAGTAGATCATAGAAATATGAAACTTCTGTTGGTAAGTTGTTAAAAATGCAAAGCAGTATTAACTACAAAAAGAAAGACTTCCTGATAAATTTTCATTTCAAAACTATTTTTATTTATCTATTTATTTTTTTAACCTATTTATGATCTGGTTTTTACCGCTAATTGTTTTAACTTTTGTTATTTTATAAATTTATCATAACAGTCACAATTAGATAAGTTGGTTTTTTATATCAATTTTCAAATCATTTGTAGGATTTGTTCCACCATCAGCGTACAACTGGTAACATAACACAGACTCTAAATGATTCCATGCCTTATATAGGTAAATTTCTACCTAAAAATAATTTACTGTTTCCAGCAGGGATATTACTTTCCTGAAAAAGCTTAATGAAACATAGGCAGTATGACGCATGAAAAAGACCAGTATTCCTTACTGGAGGAAAACTGATACTAACAAAATATTCTTGGTGGCTTCATAAACTGGGTCAGTTAGTTGCTCTGGCAGGAATTCAAATCAGTTGTGGATGCAGACTTACAATCACTTTTTTTATCAAGTCCACAAGGAGACTTGGTTGATACAACCTGATTGGGTTCATAAAGTATTGAGTTCTGGGAGACCAACTTCTGCTTTGGGAGACCAAATTCTCCTGTTTCATTCTCCCTTACACTGAGGTCTCTGTGAATGAATCTCCCTTATTTAGATTTTCATCATTTTGAGACTGGCCCAGGGTGCTTGTGACTGTCTTAGTTATCCTTCATTCTCTTTAGAATTTCTTGAATCACCTTGGCATTTTTAATGATTCCTAAAAACTACTTTTTCCTTAATTGTGAAATGTCATTGGGAAATAGAAGGAAAAACTCTAACAGCTGCTTTTGGGAAAATTTAGAGCATAACTGGGATTGGTTGGGGAAGGGTGATTCAAAACAAAACGTTTGTCTAGTTTGGTTGGGGGGGTGTGAATATTTACTGAAGGCTTGATGTCTAAATGCTCAACAGGCCAAGCAACAGAACCTCCCCAACCCTTCCCTACCCTTCTAATTGCTAGAAGTTTGGACCCCCTACTGAAGTCAGATACATCCTCCAGTGTTATCGATCTTTCCATTAAAAATATCATATGCCACTTTCTGCACAGCTGCTGCTAATCAATTTTTTGTCTCGTTTTTTAATTTATTTGTTCATTTTTTTTTTCATTAAATTTCATAGGCCATATCCAAATAAGCCAGGTGCCATCACGAAATGAACCAGATTTAGATGGCGAAATCAACTATCCTTTTGTATTCTATCACATAGCTAAACTAGGATACAAAGGCTGGATAGGCTGTGAATATCATCCAAGAGGTAAAACACTATTTTTATTTTGAATCATTTTTTACATTATGAATTGTCAATAGAAAAATCATTTCAGCATCTCAAATAGTTATGTCAGGCTTCATTAACATTCATCCAAATTTTGAATAGTTCCAACTGATTTGACATGGTTTCGAACGCTGTTCTCCAATAACAGACACTTTTGTCCAAATTCATACACCATGCTATGGTCTTATTTCAGACACTTGATTTTAATTTTGGCCAGTACTGGACATTAGTGTCTGATTTTAAGTCTAATGACTATGGACTAGTTTTGAAAGTAGCCTCCAATTCTAGTCACTTGTGTCTGAATTTGGACATTGGTGTCTGATTTTAGACACTAGTGCCTGATTTTCAACACTGGTGTCTGATTTTGGACACTATTGACCAATTTTGGACACAGTAATGTCTGATTTTAGACTCTAGTGTCCAATTTCATGCAATAGTGTCCGATTTTGGACACTGGTTTCCCATTTTGGACGTTAGAGTGATTCCAGACTCTAGTGTCTTATTTTAGTCACTTTCAGGCTTGAGTTCAATTTCAGCCACTATTGTCTGATTTTGTATGTTAGTGTTCGATTTTGACACTAGTGTCTGACTTTGGGACTAATGACTATGGACTAGGTGTGAGACTTTCCGATATTGGATGGATAGTGTTCGATATGGATGATAGTGTTTGCTTTTGGATGAAATGATCTGATTTTGGATGATTGGGTCTGACATGGGGTAATAGTGTTTGCTTTTGGAAGGTAGTGTCAGATATGGGAAGATAGTGTCTGCTCCTAGATGGAAGTATCTGATTTTGACCATTAGTGTCTGCTTTTGGATGAGGGCTCTCCTTGATCTGACTTTAAAATTAATACCATAGGTCAAACGGAAGACGGTTTAGGATGGTTAGCGCCTTATCTTGTTGATCAATAAGATCTAATCTTTCAGACTGCTGTCTAGGTAAGTTAGTGTCCTCAACAAAATCTTTTTGGATTTAAGTTTTGCATGACTATCAGTTTTGCAAACTATTTTTGTTTATTTTTCCAGACTTGGCTGTAATATTTGCCTTTTGAAACTGCTAAATTCATAATGAATGGAATAACTTGAAAGTTACCCATTAAGGCCAGAAGGCTCACTGGAAAGAAATCTCCAAGTTCTTACTTTATGATCTTTCACATACTATTCAGTAATTCTGCTATAGTGATATAGGTTACATTTTCTGATGCAGCTATGAATCGTTTCAAACTTACTCTCTTAGGATCTGTTAATTACTTATTCTCCCTCCTAACTGCTTCACATGCTGTTATAAAACAATGTGGAGAATTTTTTTTTTTAACTGGATAAAATTCTCTTACTGATAGGTTTGTCTATCTTTACCACCTGTTTGCTAGACAATGTCTTGTTGATGTAGGGATAATTAACATGCAAATTACTTCTTGGGTTGAAACAGTCAAATTATTTATATGTGTTTCTTAAACTGTGGTTCAAATTACTGATATGATGTTAACAATCTTTTATCTTATTGCTAACGATAAATTCATTATTATTTATTTTTCACAAGTTAAGGCGTCATATGTATGTTTAATCTTTTATTGAGTTTTGAAATATTGTAAGAGAAAGATATCTTTATATTATCATGCATTAAAAGTAGGAATGGTTCCACAGGCTTTTACAATGATCTTCTAAATTTTAAATAAGTCCGAATGGCAATAACTCTAGTAGGAATTGCTATTTATATTTTTTTATATTAGTTTAGCATGCACCGTTCTTTTTTACCTTTTCTTTTCTTTGCTTTTGTTGTTTTTTTTATATTAGTTTAGCATGCATAGGGTTTAGATTTAAGGAGAAATAAAAGTTCTCTGAACTGCCTAAAAAGAGGTCTGATATTCTGCTGGTAAGGTGCACGTCAACTGATTTTAGTTGCCAAGGCTTCTGAACCTTCTGGGCAGAAAGCACGTGGACAGCGTAATAAGCTCCACGTGAAATAGTACATCGGCTGAGGAAGCTTTGGAGAGGTTTTTCTTTCGGGGTTCCGAATTACACAGTTCTTATAGGCACTTAGTTCGCGAGGGTGCTAATGGCAGGTGGGTTTTTTTTTTTTTTATCACTATCAATAATGCAAATAAGGGTGCCTGTTTTCGGTTCCGTTATCAGGTGTTAGGTTTCCGTTTTCTAAGACACGTTTTCGGGTCTTAGGTACTAAGGTGTCTTAGTTTGCGGGTCTTCGTTTTCGGGGTCTTTTTCTTAAAACTGGTGTTTGATTGCATACTTTATCGCTATTAGAAAGATTAAAACCGGAACTGGATATTTCCGACGAGAAACCATAACATGATTATGATAAATGAAAAAAATAATGGGGTCTTCGTTGTCTGAACCTAGATCTTAGGTCTTAGCTTTCGGGGTCTTCGTTTTTGCTACGAGCCACATCAACCCTTGACCCCAACAGGTTTTTTCAAGAGTCGTTCAGTACCATTTATATCCCGTTGCGAAGAGAGGAGCTTGTGGACGCGAAGAGTATTTCCAAAGACCACAAAGAGGCTTTTCCGCCTTCCTTTGGGTATCTTTTAACCAGTGTTATCAGTGCCATCGTCTAAAGTCATTTCCCGTTAAAAGTCAACTTCGAGTAGGTGAGACAAATTTTTAACAACGAGTTGAGCTATGTGGCCTTCTGTCCGTTGTAGGTAACCTGATCCTAGCTGGTTTGTTTCAGATCGAAATAATTCTAACAAAATTATAGGACTCGCTTTCTTTCCGACTTTCGTTCGATATAGCAAGAATATAGTTTATTTGCTTTGACTCTGATAGGTTCCAAGGGCTTATTTTAGGGGGAAATCACTCTCCGCTCTGATGAAATTTAACACCGTTGATTGAGAGAAGTTTCAAGATGAATTACTCGATCTTACAGGTTGTTTCAGTGCAATTTTTTTTAGCTTCTCTCTGATACCATCTTTTTTATTTTTATGTTCAATTAAAAGGTAAGGTAAAGCTAAGGTGGGGGTGGGGGACTGGGGCGTCTGTTTGTTTGCTCGGAAACTTTATCATGGAAGGTTTTATATCACCAAGAGCTCAAAATCTTCATAACGTAAAATTTTCTCTGTTATTCTCCTACAAAAGTGGACGATTTTTCTCGCAGCAGTTTGATATGTTTGTGCTCTTAATATGTTATGTTACTACTGTCAATTAAGATGAGACTGACTTATTTTACAGATGATTTCAGTTTATCATCTTCTATTCCTGAAAATTTTTTTGCCTGGCATCTCTGGAATAACAGAATGGGGTTTCAAAAGATTCATAAAATACGAACCCGGTGATATGAACCTTATAATAACAGCCCCTCACGGAGGTTCACTGGATCCCAAGACTCAAAGTGATGGTCGCAGATGGCCATACAGAGGAAATGGCTGTAAAGGAAGCGATGGTGAATGTATTTGGACACACGGTTGTGGGGTTAAATCTGCAAAGTGCATTGCTTTAATAAAGAGGGATGATTTTACCATGGGCATCGCTCGAGATATTGCCAATCAAATCAAGGTAAAAGCAGGTAAGAGAGTACTATGGAACTGGTACCTTTAGAGCCTTGGGATCCGTGTCAGTATGTAAGCAACTGCGAACTCACCCCTCCCCTAACTCAACAACAGTCCACTGATAATAAGTTAGGGTTAATGTTAGGTCGGGGGATGGGTACGTGCGCACTTGCTCGGATATTGACATTGATCCGAGCCTTGTTATCTTGTGGTGACGTTTCGAGTGTTCTTTTCATTTCTTTTAGTTTAGAGGGAAAAAATCTTCTCATCTGATGATCTTTACCTCAGTAAATCTACTTGTATCGCTTAATCTCTTTTATGCTCCAGTTCCCTTTCAAGCTTGCTGCGTCTGAGAAAAGGAATTTTTTTTGTATGCTTTTCCTCTCTTCTAGGGCCCATATCACTTCCGCTTACCTTTCTCCCTCGCCTCGCTGGTACTGAATCCGTCTGAAAGCTTGCGAAAGTAATTATAAAGAACCCACCATCCCCTCCAGCCATGAAGGCTTCTAAGAGTCTGTGTGGTGAATGACCACCACACAGATGAACGAAAGTAGTCCTTAAAGGAGTCTCCCCACCCGCGAAGTTGGTCAGTCTGTGGTTTGAATTCCTACAGGAGACTCCGATCTCCTCTATTGTTTCACATTCGTGGAAGACGCTAAACATCTTTGTTTTTTCGACAACCGTGCACAAAAATTCACTATTTTCTTTCTTGCCTTATCTCGACATACGATCGCAACAAACTAACATTTTTACCAGAGGGACCAGTTTTTACTATGACACGAATTAAAATCCTCCTCCCCCACCTCTCCCCGCTGGCGGCAAATAATGACTTGATGGCCATTATTAAGAAATCCTCCGACTACCCCCTCCCCCACCCCCCCTAGCGACAAATAACGACTAGCTCTCATTAAAAACAGGTCTCCGACCACACGTCGTGTACAGCATGCTATTAAGAGCCAAACTTGACGTGAACAGGGAGATCGAAGAAGCAACCTTCAATATCTCGGACGCAATTGCCGCCTATTTCGATTACTCCTCTTTCATCAACAAGGCCAAGTCGAGCATCACTAGACGTGGGTCAAGGCGTGGGACTGGGCGCGGCTTACTGCTGGACATTCACGGCAGTGCTGATCACCTACAAAGAACTGTGTTAGGTTATCTGGTTCATAGCAATTATCTCGATAAGGGAGACTATAGCATGGACATGTCCTCTATCAGAAGCCTTGGTAACCACTGGTGTGGAATCGACAATATTTGTTTTAAGGAATTCGTCCAGGGTAACAGAAGTCTTGGGTATTTTATGAATCAGCAAGGCTTACTCGCGATACCCTCTCCGCAAAATAAAAAAATAAAACCAGCTGTGATAACTTATCTGTCTGGAGGATACACAGTGGCTAAATTTGGGTCCAGAGATGGAGGAAATGTTGATGGTATACAGCTGGAATTTTCCCGTGCATTGCGATCGAGTTGGAACCATAATGCAAAGAATAAAGTAGCCAGAGCTATTTTAAATTTTCACAAGTTTAACTACCCAGGAGAACCTTAACATCAAGCTACCTTCATGAAAGTTTTTCTTATTTCATCTGACGTCGTTCCCAGGCTTCTCAAAAAGAAGAGAAACTCGACTGAGGAAGACTGAGTTTGATTCTTCTCGACTTCGTAGCGCCGTCTTAGTTTCGTCGGTCATAGTTCGGATGTTCGCCTTCTCAAGCGCAACAAGGAGTATGTACTCAACTTTTATGAGTAGTTTTTACTTGTAATAAAGCATAATATTACAAACTTTATGAGAGAAAAATGTCTTGGATGGCACTTGAAATTTTATTAACAACGATTAATCTGTCTTGATGACGTAAAATTTGTCCAGTTTGAGTCTTAAGCTTGTTGTTCGACTTTACACGAAATAATCTTGCCTAGATTGCATTGAAACATTTTGGCGTTGGAAAAATTTCAGTATATGAGCTTAAGTAAAAATAATGGTGAAAAAGTGCACAAAACATCCCGGACGAAATTAACAAACTTTACATGTGCAAGAATAAAAATCTTGGTTATGAGCCTTTAAGAAGGTTCTTAAAGTCCAATTACACGAAATTACACTCTGGACAATGAAACTGTTGAATGGTTTTTTTTTTACCTTCGAACCTTCGTTACCGTTTGTCTCCTGTAGGGAGATAACACTTTTAATCTCCTATATCCTAATAGTGACTATCATCGAGATTCTCCAAACCGAATATCCTACTGAATGAAACAGCGAGGACCTGAGAGTAAGAAAGTGGTCACCAAATGAAAAAGCCCTCAACTACCAAACAAATCCTCCTTGCCGGTACAATAAGAAATGTATGGAGAAAGACACGTGTAGGGTATAGAGGGATTAAGGTAAAGTTTTGATTTTGGCGCCGAAGGTTATGCCTTTGTCTGCCTACGAGAGATTCGATAGTATTAGTAATCAGTTTTTCCATGCTTTTATAGTGTAGCCTGCCCAACACAATGGTCTCACATCTGCGCATGTGTAAACGTTATAGTAGCAGGTGGCGAGGCCGTATACTTTGAGGCTATCAGAACCAAGTTGTCATACAAGTGTTTTTTAACTTACACAAAAGACAGAAAATCTCAGTATTTTGATGAAACTGATCACTTTTTCTGATAAAGCTAAAAGCAAAATGACCAATCAACAGGATGCCCATAACTGAATAAACCTTATTTCTTCTGTTTTTCTTTGAAATTTTGCGTGTACTTGGCGCGCGGGCGCCCAAAATTGATCACCTTACGCATGCTCGACGTTTGACCGCTGTGTTAGTCCGACCACAGATTGGGAATGAAAAAGCTATTAATATACACTCAACTCCTACATTCCCGTTTATCAAATTCCTTCCGCTCTGGCCAGCGAAAACTCATACTAGTGTTACTGAGAAAATCCTCTAGAATTGTTAATAATCTTACTAATCAGTTCTCCCGTCATTGCCACGCTTGTCGCAGCATTTTAATCGAAGCAAGTCTCTGAGACACAATGGTGACAAGAACCAAAATTCCCAGCGTGCCAAGAATGAACCAGTAGTCAAAATCTTCCTTGAGGACGTCAAACATCCGGGATGGTGTAATTCTGGTCCAGTAAAGGTCCAGTCCATATGCAAACACCAGACAAGTAGATTCAAGGCCCGACCCGGCCGTGTACACACCGTTGATACTGGCAACTGAAGAAGGAACAGAACATTTGTAAAGATGTAAATAAATTTCGTCTCGGGAGCTTTCGGTTCTAACTTGGTAAGAGAGAAGTTTTAGCTCTTCAATGATTGTCAATGAAGGCTGTTTACTTGGGAGAACAACTATTCGGGTTTTTTCCCCTATCCGCGTGGGCGAGCAACTATCCCCGTTTGCTTGTGTATTTTCTTAGGGGGAACAATTATCTCCGTTTGCTTCCTTTATTCCCCTGGGCAAGCAACTATCTTTGTTTGCTTGTTTATCCCCGTGGGGGGGGGGGGAAAATAACTATCCCCGTTACTTCCGTTTGCTCGATTACTTTGGTTTTGGATTTATGACCCTCAAACGGAAAGCGCTTTAAAGTTTTTTTCGTCATAAGATACTTGCCAGTTTGGTTGTAGTTAATGAAAGCCAATGGATTCGCAGTCAGCTCTGGAATATAAGGATGTAATCCTTCTTCACGGTCCTGTTGGGTGGGTAAAAATTTTCTCCGCGGGTCCAAAAAGTTCTTGGGTAGGCTCCAGATGTATCCAGTTTGTAACCCGAACAGGAGAGTTTTATGAGTGATTCCTCGCTCTGTTATGGTGACAGTGGCAGTGCGTACTGTTGTTGGAAATATGTATGACTGCTGGAGTATAATTGGCATGGGGGGAGGCTCGAATGACGACAGAGCAGTGCTGAAATAAAACGAATTAGTTTAAATGGGTTCTGCTTTTACGTGCAGCAATTTTCAAATTAGTATCGAAAGTAATTACGTGGACTTCGTCAAGGTCCATAAAAGCAAAAAGAAAAAAAAAACCTCGGCCACTATACAGGCATATTGACTTCAGGCATATTATCAAATGTCCTTCAGCTGTAAGCGCAAACACACGGTGTCATGTTTTCTTGTACAGCTCTACTTTTTTACAAAGGAACATGTCAAACTGTTTTCAGTTTCAAATTTCGCTTTGTTATCAGATGGTGTCTTTCTGTGTTATTGGAAAGTATTTTCATGGAAAATCAAAATCAATTGTGACAGTTCTGAGACTAACTACCGGTATTCGTTAAAACAGAACAGTACTTGGACAATTTTCACGAAATTTAGTTACTCTTTTTAAAGTCTTGCGAAACGTATTTCCGAAAGTAACAATAAGATACACTTTCCAGCAAACAGGAGAGAATAGGAAACTTGTCAATTAGAGGGTGTTCTCATACTGACACCAAAATCTCTAGAATGATTTACAACTGTGGCAGCTAGAGGGGAGAATTACTAACTTGATCCAAGGAATGAAATGGCTATTATAACCTGTTTCTCTCTGTGTATCCATCATACATCTCCAACACAGTCAGCTCATATCTGCGGGATTTGGTATTGTATAAACAGTAGACCAACCAGTTTTCAGAATGCACCATATGGATAGGACCCTTGGCACTCTTGTGACGCGTATGGAATATAATCAGTCCTTCAACAAAAGTGATGTCATTTTTAGGTTCAATTTTTCATCAGTATTAAAGCTTGTTTAACAAAGTTAAATAGTGTGAACATACTTCAGAAAATTTCTTATGACCAGCTAGTTCTACAAATTATATTGTGACTACCAATAGGTCCTTGCTTGAAAAAAAAAGTAATTGCCTTTTTTTTTATCTAAAACCCTAGGGTTGCTATGAGTAATTCTAAGTGGAAGAAATCTGGGAACAAGCAGTGTTGTTGTCAAGGCTGTGCAGTAATTTTTGAAAGGGAAAATTTCTACAGTTTTAGAGTTTCAAACAATTTTTCCAATACCTACTAGCTACCACATGCTTGACCAATGAGTGACCATCAACTATTGCAATGTCAGTCTTGCACTTTTCAACCATTTACACCCTAACATTGGTGTTCATATTCTCCCTACTGTTTTCTGTACATTTCCTAAGACACTTACAGGGAGAATTTGTTTAACAATCAAGAGCTTTTTTAGTTGGTGATCATTTCCTTTATTCTCATGGCCTTAATGTGTGATTCAGGAGTAATAATGTTAGGAGAAATTAGATGCTAGTCATTCTTAGGGATGAAAGGCTTAAAGATACTCTGGTACACATGCACTTACACTCTCTGTTTCATGAGGGAAGCAAGAAACTGTAAAATGTTATTGTCATTATCATTATAATACCTGTGACAGCATCAATAAGGTAAATAGAAATGCCTGGTTTAGATTGCGGAGTAACTTCAGTGCCAACAGCGATCAGATTTGGATTCAAGTACTTGTAAAGCACCCTTCTGTCCCCAAGAACTTTTCCTTGTGAATGAACATGTTCCAGAGGACTCTTTGATGCTGATACAAAAAAAAAATCAATGTTTTAAAAGAGTACAAGGAATAAGGCAGACAAACATAGAGTACAACAAGTCATAATTATCAGTCATCAAAATGCCTTTTTTTCTACCAAAAGTTTCCTATCTAAACAAGTTTTAAATGTCTGTTATTACTCCCCCAAAAGTCTTAAAAAATATATATTTACCCCTTTCACTCCCACAAGTGACCAAGACAGAATTTCTCCTCACAATATCAACACAATACCAAGCAGGTAGGTGATGAGAATTTTTAAAAAAAATATCAATGATGAGATTATTAGTTGATCCAATACCAAAGTCTCTGAACTAACATCATGAGAATTGTATGGCAGATAGTAAGGAGAATTACCAATGAGATCTTGGGAGTGAAAGGACTAACATAACATAAAGTAATGAACTTTGTCTCAAGCATGCATATTTTTATTCAACACAGTGGAACTAGACTTATTTTGGTGCCCTATCTGTTTCATAATGTTTGAGAGGCAATTGGATTACTGTGGATTCTAATAACAAGACGTGAGCAAACTTAGCTGAGCACTTGGTAAGATTTAACCCTTTTCATCCTAACATCAGTCTGCATATTCTTAATACTCTCCTCTATACATTTATTCTGGTATTGGTTAGGAGAATTTTTTTAACCACTACTCTCACCACTGCACCATTTGCAACCCCCTTGTTGCTACTTTTAGTTTTTCACATCACCTTCCTGCTTGAAAATGCAGAATGATCATTCAAAGGAGAGATTCCTTTGTTCTTAAGAGAGAAAGTGTTAATATTCTGTCAATGACTAATTTCTTCCAGCTTGTTACACTTACCAATATTAGAAATGATCTGCTGTGAATGAGGAAAGTTAACATTCCACATGTCTCTCACATGAAAGACATTTTTCTGTGTATCCGACAGGAGCATGTATCCTTTCAAATTATTCTTCTCTTTATCAGCCAAGAAGAAGAAGATTGATGAGGATGCTTTAGACACAATCTCAATTGCATCTGTGGTGCGTGGAAACACATGGACATTCAGAGAAGAGTCAAGAAGAAGCAGAATTTTGGTATGTTTAGCATCTGAAAAGAGAACAAATAGATTACAATTCCTTGATGTTGCTTATAAAATTATAAATTCACCAGGAGTAGACACATTCCTCAGATTTTACCACATCAGACTTTGAGTAAGTGAAATGGGGGTGGGGAGGGAACTTGAAAACGTACCGGTATGCGGAAGGAGCATGGACTGTACCACCCTGTAGGGAAGCTGGTTTCCTTTGAGATGTCCAGGACTAGTTGGTTTCCCAGTAATTGGGTTGAAAACATGTATCAGTGATCCTTCAGATGTGCGTGATTTGCCAAGCACTATGCACTGTGCAGTCAAAGGAAAGTGAGCAACAGTTCGCTGTGTGTAGAGTAAAGAGTACTTCTTTTCATTTTGAGAAAAAGGGGCAAGAGCAGGCAAAAAGTATTTCCAGACGATGCTTCCATCTGCAGAATTGAGACCAAAGATTTTTCCTGAAGATGTTACGATTATAATTAATTTGCGCAGGTTGAACTGGTCTCTTGTCAGTTGCTCTTCTTCATTGTCTGTTGACTCAGCAAAGAAGCCATGTTCTTGTTGTGCTTTGACAAAGGCTTGGAATTGCTTTACAAGAACTTGGAACTGTTTAACTTGGGCACGGATTCGGCGGATAAACATGGACAAAATGTCGTCTGCAAAACAAAATTATGATTCTTAGCAAAAGGATCACCAAATAAAAAGGGTGTGGAAGAACATTTTTCAACAGAAGTGGGGCATATACTAGCATCAGGGGGGGAGGAACCAAGCTGGTTAGTTATTATAAACTGTCAATTTTCATCAACAAAGCAAGAAGGGGAAAGAGTTCTTATAAGTGAAATATTGGTGTTATAAGGGCATGTCAGGCTCTCTTATTAGTCATAATGGACATCAAAATTTTAAAAGCAATAAATTAAGCCTTCACACTAAAATTGTATTTAATGCTCTACCATTTGGATGTGCCCCAAACTCCTCCTGAAGTGTCTCAAAATTTGCTTGTGAGGGTGAAAATGGTAGCTCAACCACCTCTACAGCTGTGATATCTGCAAGAGCTTCTTCTCGAGACCACATGATTCGCCCAGGAAACTGTATCAGTAATATTGCATGGTCTGTGGTGGTAAGGAGAACTCTGTAACCAAGTTCATTCTCTTTTTTATTGAACAAGTACAACAGTGCGTCTGCTGCTTCACCACGGTCAACCATTGCTACTTTTTGTGACATGTCTTGTAACAGTCTCCAGTCATCTAGATCATAGCATTTAATCTCTGATGATTCTTCTGTGATGGGTGTTACTGATGCCAAAATAGCTTTATTGCCAAGTTCTGCTGCACTAAGCAGGGAGGGTTCAGTAAATTTGGCCAACAGTTTCAGACTTCTATCACTATTTAACTTTAACACAAGTTGTTGAGTTTTTGAAAGCTTTAAAAGAAATTCTGATCGTTCATCCCAAGAGTTTGAAAATGAACCAAATGAATGTAAACTGGGTTTACTAACAGCCAGATCTTCAACTCCTAGTCCTAATGAAGTTAACGATAAGGTTTTCACAGTTGCAGACTCATCACTGACAGAAATCAGATGAATACTGTTGCTAAATATTTCTGCACAAACCAAATTCAAACTCTTAACAAAAGTACAGCTAGCACCATTACCAATCCATGGTGCTCCAATTCGTCTTTCTCCTTTCACCTCACCAGTTTCAACACTTAACTTTTTAATTACAATATCCACATCATTTTGAATCCCTATGAGATACAGATGCCCACTGGAATGCTGAAAATTGAAATAGTCAGCTGTTTGTCCGCTACTATCATGTGACCATTTTACTGAGCCATCTTGGAGTGAGAATGCTTTCACCATATTGAAAGCCAGTGAAATAACCAAGTCGTTCTCTTTATCTTCTACCAAAGCTGTTCTTAGACCGCTCCATCCATGAAAGGGTGAAGTTACTTCTTTGACCGAAGATGCTGATCTAGCAAGCGATTCCCACAAAAGTGCTCCGTTGCTGGTGTCCCACGATCGCAAATATTTTCCGTTACTTGAAGAACTCACAAGCAAATTTTCCCGATAAAGCAACGTATCTAAAGCTCCTTCACTTTCCTCCAAGACCTGACGCCAAATAATGGAACCAGTTCTTGAATTTAAGGCTGCTACAACATTAGATTCCGTGCCCACAAACAATCGCTTACTGCTCTGCGTAGAAACATCAAAGTATGAAAATTTCACTTTGCCCAAATAGCTTTGACGCCAGTCAATGAGACCAACTTGATCTTCGAATAATCCTAAACAAAGCTTCCAGTTTATCAAGGAAAGAAAAACGCACATGCAGCCCCTCATTGCCGCCATCTTGAGAGCACCTGCAAAGGCGAGGCTACTGAGAAGCCTGGCTACAAAGCCAATTGGTCTTTAAGGCTAGGCTACTAAGGACGAAGGTAAAATGGCGCGTGGTTTGAAGTCTGGAGAGATTTGATTCTGGAAACGTTTCCTGTCGACTAAAACCTCTTGAAAGATTATAATTTAAATTGAATAAGGAATGGTGCCATCAGATTCGTCTGAACCTCCGCGTCCAGAAGTTTCTAAAGTAAAATGGTTCACAGAAGGGGTAAGTTTCACTTTAACGCGTGAAGACTTAGTACATTTTGTACCAAGCGGTGTAAACTTCATGCAGGAACAGCATTCAGTCACTTTGTCGAATATTTCTCTTAAAAGGTACTCAAAAATATGATAACACCCGTTTAATTTGTGTATACCACACTCAGACTGACTGCAGTACATAAAACAATTTAATTTATCCTTAGTAGACAAAACTGTCAATCTGTCAACTGCTATGCTGTACTATGTCAACCACAGATAAAGCCACCTGCACTCTGTATTGAAGAAAAGTTTCTTACACTGTCCAAAGTAGATACAGCTACCAATAAAGGCAAAATTTATTACAAACATCTCAACTGTCTACTGTAGATTAAGCTACAATGTATCTACATGACTATATCAATTGTAGACAAAGTAGAAAGCTGTAACTACTATAATAAGATAATTAAGTATTACAAACTGAGTTGATGACGTAAATTAGCGCCATAAATAATTTCTAAGCTGACATTTTGAGCATTAACCTTGTTTTACTTGCTCTGATGAAGGGTTTCCACCTGAACTTTGGCTTAGAAACTCTTTATGGTGGCTAATTTACATCATCAACTCAGTTGACAAAGTCAAATTATCTTGTTATAATCCCCACCAATGCTGCACCATTGTTTCTTTACGAACTTACCTCCTTTATTCAGATATCTACTATAGTCACAGGAGATAAGTATATGTAATATAGACTGAATAGATGGCTGTCAGCTAAAGCATTGATAATTGATTAATATGTTTGTATATCCATGTGTCTTACTTAGGAGTTTTGGTGGAGGACTTTTGCTGCAGTTACATGGGTGATGATTATTCTTCCACATGCACTATTGCTGTCCTCATTAGCAGCATCTGTAGATCTTTTTCATCCCTTCAACTGGATTTCAGGTGTGTATTTAATACCATACCAAGGGATATTATGCTTTAGTTAATGTATATTGGCCTTAAACAGCCTTGGTCAAGTTCACTATGTCCTGTTGTTAGATTAACTGCTTCCGCTACCAGGGGTGAGCAACTTACCCTTACAATTTCAATTCATTAAAGGTTAAAAATACATTGTAATTGTGAAAATAATGAAAATGGTGAAAATGATTATGAAGTGGAAGGTAATAAACTGATCAAATTTAAGATTCTATGAATGAAAAATACAAGGAAGTCATCAGCCCTTTATAGAGAGAATGTCCACTGAGATTTTAGGAGAGAGGTTCATTACCCTGTTATAGCTTTCTTTTACTACAATACAAATTGAGAAAAAGGAATGAAGAAAAAGCTGATTAAATGCTGTATGTGGGGATGGAAACTTATGATGGGATTAAAATTTATAAAAGCAGTAGAACTTCCTCTGAGTACGTGCTTGGAAAAAAGTATACCATATAGTGATGTGAGCTAATTTATTGTAGTATAGACCACTACTGCTGCATGACCCAGGTATACCTTGCTAATAGATAATATTATTTATACCCTCTTTCTATCATTTTTTAAAGGTGGTTTATCACTGGTTTTAAGCTTTCCATTTTGGGTATCTACTTGTTTTTATGGAGCTATCAGTATTGTGGTGACGCTGTCAAATTCCAAATTCAATACTGGTTAGTATACTAAGTGATTATGATAAAAGCATGTTAGCTACAGGTAGTTTGGTGGGTAGGCTGAGTTATAATTTTCACTATACTTTAAAAAATGACTCATCAGATCTTGGTTCTCTTGAGCTTTTCACTTCCAGGAGTGATAAATAGGTAAATTCTCCTTACATTATCAGTGCATTATCCAGCAGACAAGTGATGAAAATGAAGAAAATATCGACTAGGGTTTTATTATTTGATTTAACACAAATTTCATGGAATTGACATGAGAGATGTAGGGCAGATGGAGAGGAGACTCAGTACTGAAACTTTGGCAGTAAAATAGGTTAACCCTTAACTTTCTAACATCAACATATATATTCTCCATACTGTTCTCTCTACATCTCCCAAGGTGCTGATAAGGAGAATTTGTTTGGTAACAATTAAGATTTTCTTCAGTTGGTGATTGTTTTCTCTATTCTCTTGAGTTTAACTTTTGTTTCAGTGATGATATTGCAAGCCCCAGGGAGAAATTAGGTGGTAGTCACTTTTAATTTTTGTCTTGCAGTTAAAAATGTTACGCATCAGAATCAAATGTCAGCCTTGTTGTTTCCCCTTCACCCAGCAAGAATGTTTCACATTTTTTTGTTCACATTGTGTGGGAGCCTTTCTGCCTGGTGTTTCCAAGGAATCATTGGTGATGAGGAGGATGTTTTAACTATATTATGTGAAACGTAAGGGAGGCATGTTGATTTATGGTGAATGAAAATTAAGTTTGAAAATTGATCAGGAAAAACTCCAGCTTTTTAACCCACTTACATGTTCTTTTGGCAGTATGAGAGATTAGACTCTATATTATTTATCGTTCAAAAGATTAATAATTTTTTCTGTATAATGATGTGAACGTTTATTGTTTACAGTGTTGACAATTCCTTACCAAATGTAATTTGTAACATTGACCTTTTTGGTCTTGTATTCCTATAGATCAGAAGAATATTGTTTAAATGAGCGTCTAGTTTTTGGCATTCTTTTTGGAGCATGGTTGGTGAGTGCAGTTTCTTATATAGACATATAAATAGATATTAACCCTCCCATGAGTGACCAAGACAGAATTTCTCCTTACAATATTTATATACTATCAGTGAGATAAGCAACAAGAATTAGGGAAAATATCAATCTGGGATAATTAGTTGATCCAATACTAAATTCTCTGAGCTAACATCACAAGAACTGTATAGTAGACAGTAAGGAGAATTGCCAATGAGATCTTGGTATTTAAAGGGTTAAATAGTCATTAAATAGGTATTAAATAAATAGATAATAAATTCAAGTCTACAAATTGTGATACAGAAGAAGACAATGATAAATTTTAAACTGAATATATATGTATATGCACACCACATTTTGAAGGATACCAACATTATGGTATTTTTGGCATTTGTTTCTTTCTTATCAACATCTGTTTATATTTTAGGGTTTTTATACAAGTCTGAATTACTTCTTGAGAAAGAAATTTCATTTTGTATTTCCTCGAGTTCAGGTGAGTTTTGTTCATGTTAGTATTTGATTTGAAGTCTGGTTTATTCAAATTTTGTGTTGTGGTATGATTTGTCAATCAATGATATTTCTCTGTGCCTTACATGTATTTTTGTCAAGGGGACAGTCATTGAATTCCATTTTTTTTTACGACAAGCAGCAAAAGGTCTTGTTCCAGATAAAGTTGTCAGTAGGACCATGTGTAAAAGAGAGTATCATTGTCTGCTTAAAGGTGAGATAGAGCATTTTTCCCCTCCCTCCCTCCCCCCCCCCCATCTCATCATGTGTTTAGATGATGCTAAAAGTAACTGAATGCAGAAAAACTCCTCTTGAGCTTAAAGATTGATTCTTCTCCTTCTTCAAGGTCTGTTACTGTTGTTTTTAAGTGAATGATATTTTTATCAATTTTTATCTTTCATAGGCATGTGGATGGTACTACCTTTTGTATTACTTTTTAGGTAGGTGTTTGTCCTATCCAACTTAAAAGCTTAGAATGTTAGCTTTTGTCTTCACGTTAATGGTCATTAAAAAATAAAAGCAAAATTGATTACCAGAACAAGTTATGTTATGCAAATTTTAGTAATGATGGGATTAAATTGATTCCCAAACAGTTAAAAAAATTGCTCCTGTAATCATTTTCATACTCATTGATTTGTCGATCAAGATGCAAAAGGTGGATTAATTTTTCTTCAGTACTATTGCTTTCCCCTCTTTCCAATATGTCTGAAAACCCCCAAGAAATTCCCAATTTGTTCTTTGTCATGTTCCATACGTAGCTTTCTTGAGTTACAAATGAACCCTGTAATCAATCAGAGAGGAACATTTTTGCATAAAGCTTTTAAAGAAGTTTTTTTCCTCACACATTTCTTTCAATGGTTGTTCAGCTGATTTAATGTTTTATTGGTGCTGTTTAAGATCCCATAATTCATGCTGAAAGAGATGCTAAACTGAAATCAGTTGCTGTTTTTGATCTCATTGACATCTTTCTGTTTACTGAACCACAGGTAATATTCCCAGAGATGCCACTGCCAACATTCTAGATGTCTCTTTGGACAGGTAAATTTGCATGTTCGTCTCCATGAACAGCATTCTAGAAAAGTGCTAAACATTCTACTTACCTGAGTTTCTGTTTTCTATGTTTATATTGTAAGAATATCATCTATTAAACCCACTTTGCAGAAATGTGACACCTCTCAACTCCATAGCAGGCCTTCTGAACCTTTCCCAGTTTTGGTGCCTCGTGACAACTGGGTCATTAATTTTGTTTGTTTGGACCTTTGGTAACAAACTTCTTATTATCTTCCACACACAGGTAAATATGTAAATTATGATGTAGTTTATAACACATTGTAATGTTACATACATAAAGTACACATTAATTTCTGTGATTTTATTGGATAAAATTCATTTCAGATATACAGATTCCCAGTGGAGTATTCACTCAGTCATCAACAGGACCAAAGTCTTTGTGTAGTGATCAAAAATAAAACAATCCCATTATTAAAGGTACATCTAAATGTTTGCACCTTAACATAAGTATGCATATTTTTCATACTGTTCTCTATACATTTCCTAAGGTGTGGCAAGAATTTGTTTAACAATTGAGAACTTCTTTACTTGGTGATCATTTCCTTTTAACCATCTAATCCCTAAGAGTGAAAAGGTTCTACAATATCACCCCTGAATGAAAGGTTTAAGTCATGAGAATAAAGGAAATGATCAGCAACTAACAATTGAAAGCTCTTGATGGTTTTACAAATTCTCCCTGTTAGGACCTAGAGAATGTAGGGAGAACAGTATGGAGAATATACATAATGATGTTAGGATGTAAAGGGTTAATTAATCTTGTTACCTTTATGTTTGATTCAGGCGTAATGTTGTTAGTTACTTGTACATGTAGTAGTCAAAGGGGTAAATAGTGAATATAAAACTTAATGGATACAATTTGCTCACTTCTGAGAGTTGTAGAATATACTTGCATTTCAGTGTGACTTTCCAATGACTACTCATCAAAATCATTACATATAAAGTATATTTTTCTTCAGTGTATACTTTTATTTTTCTATTTCTTCCACAGTATCTTGCTTTGTTTGACCTGGTACATTTGTCCCAGTTTAGCCTGACAAGAAGAAAGCAGATTTTCTCTCTTAGTCAACCAAGTGAGATTTATTTTAGCATCTGTCCTTATTGTTCACGATGCAAATTTCCTATTCTGGTACATGTCCATAATTCAGTTTGACCTTATACTACATATTTCTGTCAAATTCAGAAAATCACCACCAGCTTGACCCTTTCACTCCCATGAGTGACCAGGACATAATTTCTCCTTACAGTATCAATATATTATTAAGCAAACAACTGATCAGAATAGCGAAAAAACTATTAACTAGGTGATTATCATTTGATCCAACACCAAACCTCAGAACAAACTTCATAAGAAATATATGACTGATAGTAAGGAGAAATTTCATCAAGATATTGGAAATGAAAGGGCTAACTACGTCATAATTGTTTTTGGTGTGTCATAATCAATCATACCCATGCCAGGAGGTCAGCATTTGCAAGGAAACCAGAAATCACAGATTTATCATTGTCACTGCTTACATGAGAAAACTTATTAAATAAGTTTTCTCGTGTACGATTAGCTTGTTCTCTGAAACAAAATCACATTCCAGAAATGTTTCTTGTATTCACAGTTTTCTGAATTTCCCAATAAGGTGTTACTTATCAGGAGGCACCCTATTGGGGTTGTGGCTAATAGCCAACTGCCAGGAAAATTTGATGGATGAAAAGTGACAATTGTTGATTGGGCACATCTGAGGTTACACACTTACAGTTTGATATTGAATGCTATCTTTAAGCTGCTTCTCTTAAAATTTCAGCCAGCAGCCCAATTTCTTAGCTACAACCCTGCACTATACAAGGTCTGGTAGATGGTTAAGTGTGTCTTTATATTAGATCCCTAAAGTTAGTTGTGGTAGTGATAAGAAATGTTTTCTCACAGGTGGTCGGCCAGACAACTGGACAAGTATATCCACAGAGTGTCTGTCTTTAATTGAATCTCTTACACATAAACTGTCTGCAGAGGTTTCTTTGCAAACTCATCGTCAACAGCCTGTGTTGGACCCTAAAGTGCTTGGCCCAGCTCTTGTCAACGGACATGCCAATGGACATACAGGTGTGTAGTGTGTGTAGTGGTCTGAGGTGGGAGTGGGGAATAGTACCCAGCAAATTGACAGTGTGCAGATGTAATTCAAGTTCTCCGCAAGTTAACAAGACCAAAAATTTCAACAGAACCAATTGAAGTATCGGAATGGTTGCATGGCTTCAGCTTAATCCTTTAACTCTCGTAAGTGACCTACTAAATACAGAATTTCTCCTCACAAGATCATTTCAATATCAAGCACACATGAGATGAGAATGAAAAAAAATATCAATTAGGGGATTATTAGTTGACCCAGTACCAAATTCTCCAAACTGACATCATAAGAACTGTATGGCAGACAGTAGGAGAATTACCAATTAGATCAAGGGAGTGAAAGGGATAAGCCTTTTTCACAGAATCACTGAAGTTAATTGCAACTACAGATGCATCCCCATATCCATGTTTATTTGCAAGATTAAGTTGTTTTAAGTAAAAGAAGGCCTAATGATGATAACTTAGCATTCATTTCAACTTTGGTATGAACTTCTTCATAATGGTTATCAAATGAATAATTTTTTTTCTTAGGACAAAGCTCTCCTTTGTTATCCAGTCCATATCAATCACCATTAAGTGTGACAAGGAGGCATCAGTCTCTGTCATCACCAGGAACAGTTTACCTTTGGTCTGACAAAACTGGTGAGGTCTATTAAAAGTATACAGTAGAGCCTCAATTATCTAGACTTATGGAGACTGGGCTGAAAAGTCCAGACAATCAAGTGAAAATACTTGTGTGATTATAGATAAGCCAAAAATAACACTGATCAACTTTAAATGGAATACATATTGTTTCTCTATCAATATAATTATGCGTGAATGAGATCAAATTATTGTGCATAAACTGTCAACATCTGCTGAAAAAAGAGTTACACACTAGTTATTAAAGCTCTCCAACAACAAAAGAAAGAAATGGGAACAGAGAATCAAGTCTGGGTAATTAAAAAAAATGGATAATTGAGGTCCATATAATAGAGCTTTGACTGTAACATCACACTATTTGTAGCTAATTTACACTGGTTTTATGTGCAAAACTACCTTACATCTGGTAAAAAAGAAAAACACCACTGAAACAGTCAACAATCAGTTGCAAGGGAATGGAGTTGGGGAAAAATTGGAAGTGAATTGCAAAAAATGAACCTAATAAATGCAGCCTAAATTTTCAGATCTGCAGGTTATGAGTTAGTCCATAGCTGTACCTTTTTTCTCTCCAACTTAAGTGGGTATGAGTCTGAGAATTGCCATATTTGTTGTTCTCTTAGAAAACACACAAAAGATACCCTCTCCCAAAACCAAGAAAGATTTTGGTGTCATCAACCATTTTAAAGGCAGAGTGAATGAAATGGTGAGCTGAAGTGAAAAAATCAAAATTCTATAATTTAATTTGATATTCATTGTAGAGTAGTTTGCCATAGATTTTTTTCAACATTGAAGTGTTTGGAAGGGGTCTTGTAAACACCCAATGATGGTGGGGTGTTTTGATCATTTAAATTTGGATAACTGTCATTGTATCCTCTGGCACAAAAGGTATCTGTTTGTTGATCAAGCAATAACCATGTTATCAGATGTCAATCTTGACTTATGTTAGAGGGGCATGGCTTAAGAAGGCTGAGGTCCAATGGTGTATAACAGACCTGTGTTTGTTGAATGTCAAACTCGCAACACATCCACAATCAAACCACATGCTTTGACTTTTGAACTTTATTAGCCATTAATAACTTACTTTTCCTTCACAATGTGTCACAAGTGTTTCCTAATATATACATATATATTCTCCACACTTTCTCTTTACATTTCCTATGGTACTGACAAGGAGAATTTGTTTGAGAATCAGGAGCTCCTTTAATTGGGGATGATTTCCTTTATTTCCTTCACTTTTCCATCATCATTTACATTTGATTCAAGGGTGATAATGTAAAAAGAAATTATAAGCCATTCACTCTTAAGGGTTAAATGATCAAGAGGAAACCGTTACAGATGGTTCTCCTCTCTGTTTTCCTTCAGGTCGACAGTTCTGTCTCAAAGATCAGCCAGATTCCCCACAGGGTGAGTTTTTTTAAACAGTAAATTCTTGGTTACAATTCATAGGAATTTTTATAATTTTCAACATTCAAGGTGCAAGATGCTGACTCTCCTTTCAATGATTCGCATAAATTTCATAACTACAGTTATAGAAATTTAGAGGTAAAAAAGCGTTACCAAGTTGATATTGATTTGCCAGCTTCCTGATTGCTGATCATGATTGTGTGTCTTTGGTCCATTTAGATTGCTTGTAGATTGAAAGAGATACCCGTTATTGGATTTCTGTTTGATAAGGTAAAAACATCAAGGGTGTTTTTTTGTTGTTGTTGTAATTGGGCTTTTTTTTTGGGGGGGGGGGGGTGGGGGAAGATTGGGGGAAGATTGGGTGGAATCGAAGAGGTGGAACAGCATCCCCTCCACTTGTTTGTGTTTTTTTTCCTTCAATAAGATCTGCAAAAATACATGTTTTTGTCTGAAGCAATTTGCTTGCATCCTGTTTTTGTAAATTTGGGCCAGTGAAAAATTGTTATCAAAAAAACAATTCAGGATTTAAGCAATGAGTTTCTAGTTCAATTTCTATTTAAAAATCTCACCATTTTGCTAGAAGGTATCCAAGTAATCAAATTTAACTGTGGTCTGTTGTTAGATTCCAGAGACACAAACACAAGCTCTTTTTGCAGATTGCCAGCTTCAAATTTGGGCTGTGGAAGGTGAGGAAGTTCTAATCTTTTTTTTTATAAATTTAATATTCCATGTACAATGCTTTCTTGACTAAGTTTGTGTCACTCTCAATTGTTATAATGTTTTATAAGAATCCTTCATGAGATGTTATTAACTCTTTAAGTCCTGTGAGTGACCAAGACAGAATTTCTTCTTACTACATCTATACAATATCATACAGACAAGTGATGAGAATAAAGAAAAATATCAATTATGGGATTACTCATTGATCCGATACCAAATTCTCCAAACTAACATATTGGGAATCATTTGGCAGACAGTAAGGAGAATTACTATTGAGATCTTGGGAGTTAAAGGGTTAAAGTATTAAGTGTAAAGCTTCAAATTCTCTTTTCACTCTGCACAGTCTCTAAAATTATATATTTTTTCCTCTCTGTCCTTCTAGCCCTATCAAGACTAGTTGCTTCATCATATACAGAAGATACATATGGTGTTGTACAAAAGGTAATTAAATCTCCATTTGTCTTTTTTCCTATTCAGTGAATGCCTTTTTGTGGTGGTGTATAATCTACAAACCTGGTTATTTTATTTTGTTGGCTTTGTCATGGAGTCAAACAGTGTACAATAATATTCTTATTTCTCTTTCAGAGTCTTCCAAAAATTTTCGTCTCTCTCTTGAATTTACTTCAGGTGAGTCATTCAGGGACTTCATTACAGTATCTGATTTTCGACACTCGTGGATTTTAGACCCTAGTGTCCCTAGTGACCCCAGTGTCCGATTTTGGATTTTCAACACAAGTGTGGTATTTTTTATTTTGGATTTTGGATTTTGGACACTATGGTTCCATTTTTATTGGATACTATTTTCCGATTTTGAACACCAGCTTTCAAATTTGGACAGTATTGTCCGATTTAAGTTTTCAATTTTAGAAAGAGGCCCCTTTTGCAGTCTCGTGACCAAAATTTGGACGTTAATTTTCGCTTTATGGCACTTCTGATTGTGGAGACAAGTTTGTGATTGTGGACACTGTGTACCGTCTTTGAATACTAGTTTCTGATTAGGGACATACATGCTTGATTTCTGACACCAGTGTCTAACGTTCCTCAGAAACCGTTCTTACCTGCATTACCATGAGAATTTATAGTTTATAATCTCTGGGCATTACTTACTTTTTTTTTTCTTTTTTTTTTCTGGCGCTTAGGCTTTGGACCAACACTCAAAGCTATCATTGGCTTTAATCTCAAGACCAGAGATTCAGCCCAGACCTCCTCAGCCACAAGGGTATCAGTTAAGAGCAAGTAAGTATGGTGCACATCAGAAGAGACATTAAAATTTATTCCTCACACTGTAATCGTAAGAACTTAAATAATTTATAGAAAGAATACACGGTCCAGTGTTTAAAAGTATTTAAAACGGAGTAGCTTTCTCGCGATTAATCCAGGGTGTATTAGTTCTGCTAAACCACGTTCTGTGATTGATCTAGAAAACTTGGTAGAACACGTTTTCCGCGCTTCATTTAGATTGCTTGTTCTTACTCCTTGCCATATTTTCCCTTGTTCTGATTGGCTTTTGCGATCACGTTGCTTTTGCTCGTGCGATACTCAATCCAAATGCAGTCTGAACCAATGGAGGTTTATTCCTCGCAATCTGCGAGTACAAATTTAGGTGTTTTTTTTCTTCGGTTTGAGCGCTAAACATGGTAGCGCAAAAGTGTGGCCAAGTTAAGCGCTCCTAACTCAAAATAACGCCTGAAGTGTTGTAAAATCTTTCCTTTCATCGTGTAACTTCACAAAGAAATATCCAAAGGTTTTCTTGTTGGAGAAGCCTTGCCGCAACTTTACGCGTCGGAAGGAATTCGTTCTCACTTGCTTTGAACTGGTTTCTGTTTATCACTTCTCTTTCGTGTAGTTTGTATTTATAAATATGTTTTTCATTTTAATTTTTGTAGCACTCGTGTCTTCGATCTACAGAATAACCAAAATTTTCCATGAACATTTACGGTAAGTTCGACCTCTCCCTCTCATTATAGATGTTTTTGTCGCAAATTAGAACGGATCGCTATCTATTTCTTCAACTTGTGATGATACGTTTTTAAACTACTTTCCTATTTTTGATGCTCACACCACAGATAGCCTGAGCTCACAGAATGACCCGCAATCAAAACGTTGCGCAATTGGCGAATTATAAGGATTTGTTTGAGAATAAATGATCGCACTCTCGACTTAAAAAATCTAAGCTAGTTTTGATTAAAGTCAAACTTACCTTGTCACAGTGGTCGTTCCTTAACCCTTTAACACCCAGATCAAATTTGTAATTCTCCTTACTGTCAACCATACAATTCTCATAAAGTTAGTTCCGAGAATCTAGTATTTGATCAACAAATTATCCCTAACTTGATCTTTTTCTTTATTCTCATCACTTATCTGGTTGATATTGTATATATATTGTAGGGAGAAATTCTATCTTGGTCACTCATGGGAGTTTAAAGGATAGACTAGTTTAAATTTTTAAGGTTGACAAAGCGACCGTTTATTCCCATACAAATATTTCGCCCAATGGCACAACATAAAGGTGTTTGCATATCTACGGAGGCTCATTGTGCTAGCTTGGGCTTCTTTTGACTCCTCAAAGGGACTTAGAACTGACAATCCCTGTCAATGTCTTTTATTTCACAGGAACCTACCAATGGCTGTAGAACATGAAAAGAAACTTGAATCGTTTTTGATGTTCAGAGAGTAGGATACAGCCTTAATGTACATTTTTTTGGAAAAATTAGATTAAATCTTAGACTTTAGGTGCAATTTTTGCAATCCTTTTTTGAAAGTTTTTTCTTCCGAAAAGTGCCGTGCTTGGAAAGGTAGCTTTGTCAAAAGTAATTAAAAGAAGTACGATAATATGCCTGCGTTTAGTGGTTTAACTTTGAAAACTTGATAAAACCACTTGCAGGGTTATTTTGACTATTCCCTTTTGTGTTAGTGCAGCTTGATCAGAGGCAAAAGGAGAAGAATTCTTATAATGTTGTTAGTAATTCGCGTCACTTCAAATGGGTTTGGACTTTACTACTGCTTTTTGGAATTCTTTCTCTAGATTGTGAATAAATAGTTATTTGTGAGTTATGATTAGAAGACTGATGGTTGACTTGGTGTTCTTTGTTTTTATTTAATTATCATTAGCTAGTTATCTTAATTAGATAAACAATTAGACATTCAACAATACCTAATTTATCATTAAGTTCAAAGGTAAAATTGTCGTGAGGCAACACGTCTTAACGCGCTGCTTTAAAAATTTGGAATATGGTTTTTGGTGCGATTTCAAACATGTCCAAAAAGTGTCCTAAGAGTTGTTTTTGGACGACTATCGGCGTGGGTGGGGCTCTTATAGCTGCCCTTACGTACAAAGCAGTTCAAGCCCGCGATAAGGCTGCAAAAGATTTCGATGACCGCGGCTTCCCTGCAATGGCGGACTACCCCGATCTCCGCCACCACAACAACTTGATGGCGAAGCATCTGACACCGCGCTTGTACAGCAAACTTCGCGATAAAGTGACCTCCAGTGGATTTACATTGGACCAGGCCATTCAAACTGGTGTTGACAACCCCGGCCATCCTTTCATCCTCACTGTTGGAGCCGTTGCAGGAGACGAAGAGTCGTACGAAACTTTCGCGGACCTTTTTGATCCGATTATCGAAGAGCGCCACAATGGCTTCAAGAAAACCGATATGCACAAAACTGACCTGGACGCCTCTAAGATCCGTGGCGGGAAATTTGACGATCACTATGTGTTGTCTTCGCGCGTGCGCACCGGACGATCGATTCGTGGGTTCAGCCTACCGCCTCACTGTTCACGCGCGGAGCGAAGGGAAGTGGAAAACATTGTTTGCGAAGCCTTGGACGGTCTGAAAGGTGAGCTGTTTTACTTGTGAAAGAAAAATCTGTTGCGCGTGCGGGAATAGTACTTTAAAATGATTTTAAAAAGCCTCTTTGTAATTTTGTACAAAATTGAAAATGGAAAGGGCAGGTTTGGAGAGGAGGAGATCAAGTTGGGATAAAAAATCTCTATGCAAAAAAATTTACTATGTTCACGCAAGATCCTTAAATTGAGTTTATTCCAGATCATGATTACGTTTTCCACACGTGGTAATTACTGACAGTAACGAAATGATTAAGCATTCCATAATTGTTCATTTTGAAATTGCGTCACAATGAATTATTTTGTGTGTTTTGATTGGTTCACAAACATACTAGTTTAGAATAGTAAAGGAAATTAGAAGGATCAGCTCACGCCAACGCAAACGCGTCTCATGTTTTCTTAAATTTGAACCACGAAAGCGCGCGTTTTTGTCCTTTTACTTTAAGGAGTAACATGACATGATTCGTTGACCTCTTCACGACTTTCAGGTAACCTTTCTGGAAGCTATTATCCTCTGAACGGTATGACCGCAGCCGAACAACAGCAATTGATTGACGATCACTTCCTGTTTGACAAACCAGTCTCTCCACTCCTCACGTGCGCCGGCATGGCACGTGACTGGCCTGACGCGCGTGGAATCTGGCACAACAAGGACAAGAACTTCCTTGTTTGGGTCAACGAGGAGGACCACACGCGTGTCATTTCCATGGAGAAAGGAGGAGACATGCGCTCAGTGTTTGATCGCTTTTGTCGCGGGCTCAATGAAGTGGAAAGACTTATCAAGCGCAGAGGACACGAGTATATGTGGAATCAACACTTGGGTTATATCCTCACGTGTCCATCCAATCTTGGAACCGGTCTTAGGGCTGGAGTGCACGTCAAACTACCCCACCTTGCCAAGGTAAGAATGTTGCTTGTCATATTAACCAAGTGAAAGCTAAGTTTAAAACTCAGCGCAAATCCTAAAACATCAGTGGGCTAAAAAGCAATTGATGTGGAGTGGTTTCCAAAACGTTCCTTGAACTTAACATTCCTTGACCTTGAGAGGTCTTTTTACAATAAAACATCTGTGCACTTCCTAGATATCCACTTTGCCCCCTCTGCATCCCACCAGCCTACCCCTTACGGTTACTTCTGTGCTCTTTTCGAAATCATGTAGGTTGTTACGGAAAATCCTTCCAGTTGTTAGTCAAATATTCCCCAGACATCCGTGATATCGTAAAGAGGAAGGGTAAAGACTATTAAAAAAGCTGGATAATTATGACATGAATTTACGACACGTTTATTGAGTGATTTTTATTAAACGTGTCTTGTTTTCTAGGATTCAAGATTTGGCGACATTCTGGACAAGTTGAGATTGCAGAAGCGCGGAACCGGTAAGATCGAATGTTTCCTCAAGAAAACGTAATGTTAGTTTTTGGAGGGTGCGTGATATAATCATTTGGTTTTCATTGAGCATGCTTACTTGTGTTTTTTCATTTCAGGTGGGGTTGACACGGCAGCCGTCGGAAGCACTTTTGACATCTCCAACTCAGACCGTCTCGGTTATTCGGAGGTGGAACTTGTTCAGACCGTGATTGACGGCGTCAATCTTCTCATCAACATAGAGAAGAGACTGGAAAAGAACAAGAGCATCGACGACCTCATTCCCAAATAAGGAGTTCGTGACGGATGCTGGTTGCTGTTGCATTTGCTTTGTTGCATCGCTTGCTTACAGCTTAGGCTTGTCAAGAAACATTGTTAAATGAATTGAACCGGTCACCGCGCGTGTAATGTATTAAGGATGACCGCTGTGCAGTTTATCCGTGGTAGGTGTTACTTACCTGGCGGTGGGCCTACTGCACCTTGACAAGCCGCTTGAAGTTTTGAAGCAAAGATATGCCATTGCGAAAAGTAAAAAAAAAAGGGCGTGTTGAAATAAAGACATGAAAATGTAAAACCTGTATCAGACTGATTCTTTTTTACAAAATGGCGAGGGAAATCACAATGGGAACTGGTGTCCAAAATCGAAAATCAGCCTCTAGGGCCCAAAATCCAAATCGGCCACTAGGGTCCAAAATCCAAAATCGGCCACTAGTGTCCAAATCCTGAAAAAATGTCCACTAGTGTCTGAATTAAAAAAACGGCCACTAGTGTCCAAAATTCAAAATCGGCCACTAGGGTACAAAATCCAAAATCGGCTACCAGGGTCAAAAATCCAAAATCGGCCACTAGTGTCCAAATCCTAAAAAATGTCCACTAGTGTCTGAATTAAAAAAACGGCCACTAGTGTCCAAAATTCAAAATCGGCCACTAGGGTACAAAATCCAAAATCGGCTACCAGGGTCAAAAATCCAAAATCGGCCACTAGTGTCCAAATCCTAAAAAATGTCCACTAGTGTCTGAATTCAAAAAACGGCCACTAGTGTCCAAAATTCAAAATCGGCCACTAGGGTACAAAATCCAAAATCGGCTACCAGGGTCAAAAATCCAAAATCGGCCACTAGGGTCCAAAATTCAAAAACGGCCACTAGGGTCCAAAATCCAAAATCGGCCACTAGGGTCCAAAATTCGAAATAGGCCACTAATGTCCAAAATCTAAAAACGGCCACTAGTGTCCAAAATCCAAAAACGGCCACTAGGGTCTAAAATCCAAAATCGGCCACTATTGTCCAAAATCCAAAATCGGCCACTAGTGTCCAAATCCAAAAACGGCCACTAGGGTCTAAAATCCAAAATCGGCTTCTAGGGTCCAAAATCCAAAATCGGCCACTAGTGTCCAAATCCAAAAAAATGGCCACTAGGGTCCAAAATCCATAATCGGCCATCAGGCTAACATCCATAATCGGCTACTAGGGTCCAAAATCCAAAATCGGCCACAAGGGTCCAAAACCCCAAAACGGCCATTAGTGTCCAAAATCCAAAAACGGCCTTTAGGGTCCATTATCGTCTATTTTTTCTAGTCAGGTTTATAGGGGGGGGGGGTGAAAATTTTCGGTTTGAGGTAAGGGCAAGGCCCTGATAGACTGCAATCTTGGTTTTGTAAGAGGTTGCTTATCCTTTTATCGGAAAAAGAGACAAAGTTTGGTGGCAGTCACATGGTTTTCAGGGGGAAATGGGGGGGGGGTCAGTCGTTGCTAACAGAGTATAAAGTGGAACTATTTAAATTGACTGACAATGAGGCGGGGTCATTAAAATACTACAGGGCCTTAGGGGGGATCTGGTAAATTTCATTGACATAGCAAAATTCCCCGACCTCCCCTCCCCCGTGATAAATAATGACCCGTCCCTAACGGGCCTTTCTTTGTTCAGTTTTTCTCTCCTTCTTGCTCCCTTTCTATCTAAGAGTAGAACTGGAAACTAGTATTCCAGACATAATTCCTGAATTAGGAGAGCTTTTTGTAAATTATATTTTTTTTTACCAGCCAAGAGCCGACAATGAACATCCGTAACCTGAGAGATAAAGAAGCTTGCGGTGATCACTCTTTGGGTTATCGTTGAGATATAAGGGTAGTCTCGCAGCCAGACCTTCCAATAATAGGGTCCGGTCATATTTTATCGCTCAGGGGAGGGGTCCGAGGATGTTGATCGAGTTGCGATGAAATTTGATCGATCACCACACAAGGCCTGGTATAATCTTCTGATCCCCTCATTGGCAGTTAACTGGCAGTCTGTTCCCTGAAAACCATGGAATCTCCCCAAACACCTCCCCCCTACCATGATAAATAATGGCTAGTCTCTGATGGAAGTGAGATTTGAAGAAGAGGACCACTTGACCCTACATATCTCCGTTCTTCTTGAAAATATTTTAATTATTTCAAGAGAGATCTAGAAAAAAAAAACGCAATTCAGAGCTAGTATTTTCTTCTCACTCGAAGTTACCTTCGTCTTTCCTGCTCCAAACCTCCTTAAATATGTACGGAGGTTTTGAAAAAATTCACTCGTAAAAAAGAAGAGACCGATAAGATATTTACTCTTTCAAGTTAGAGTTTCTTTACAGTGGAACCATAACCAGAAAATTGCGCTTACTAAACGAAACACAAAAAAGATACAGAAAACGTTTTCTTACAATACAATAACCTTTATTTAATGTGGTCAAATGTTCTCAGCTAATTAGCTACTTTACAGACATGCCACGAAAAGTAAATAAATAAACTAGAAATAATCATAGAAAGAGAAGATTTCTCTTAAAAACCTATATAAAAATATATTTATACAATTAAAAAA